CTTTGTGTTGGGGTTCTGGTTTCCTTTGATCTGTGCTTGTTATTTTGAGTGGATTGTTGTGTGCTCTGTGTCTTTGGGACCGATTGTGGTGACTTTGTTTGTCCTAGGTAGTTTGGTTGGTTGTTAGTTTTACTTGAGTTTGGTTGGCTGCTCCGGTGCTAGTTGTTACGGAGTTGGTGGTGCCGGCGTGGGTGCTGATTGGCGTTCAGGGGGTTGGTGGTGCGTATGGCTGGTTGATCCGGTGCTGGTGGTTCCGGCGTTGGGTACAGGTTGGTGTTCGATGGGTTAGTGGTGTTGCGCTGTGGCTTCGGGTGTGGCTACGTCATGCTTTATGATCCTTTTGTTTGGAGTTTTTTTTTTTTTTTTTTGACTCTTAGTGGGCCGGTTTTGTGGCTTGGGCTACTTTCTCATTGGGCTATCATGGTGCTGTCTTCCATTTGTTGTGGGCTTCCAGTCCATTTGCCGAGCCAAATTCTTTTCGTTGCCTTTCTTCGGTGCTGGGGTTGCGTCTCATGAATTCCGGCCAAAGTTCTTCCTCCACGCACCGTGTTGATGCGTATTCTGGGTGGGTTCATTCTTCTTATTGTTCTTTTCCCTCCTCTTCTACAGCTCCACCTCTCTGTTTTTCTGTTGGCCATAACGATTTTCCCAATATTATTGTTTGGAATTGTCAAGGTCTAGGTTCTGCATTTACAATTCAGCAAATTAAACGTTTAAAATCTCAATATTCCCCTGATATTTTTGGTGTTCTTGAAACAAAAAATTGGAAGCGTACTTAGATTGTTCAAAAAATGTTGGGTTATTCTCATGCATGTTTGGTTGAGCCGACTGGGATTGAGGGTGGTCTTGGCCTTTGGTGGAAGGATACAGTTCAGTTACGGGTGGTAGATAAAAATTGTTTTTCTATTACTGTTGTTGTTTTGTCTCCTACGCGTTTGCACTGGTATTTTCCCCTTATATACGCTAGTATTATGGATCGGGAGAGAGCTTTGCAATGGGAATATTTAATTCACAGTGCGCGTTATTGGTCTGGTAGGTGGGTCCTAATGGGTGATTTTAATGATATTTTACATAATTCTAAGAAACATGGGGGCCAACTTAAACAAAATAGCAACTTCGGTCCTTTCGTACTTTGATTGATTGTTGTGCTTTAGTGGATATTGGTTATGTGGGTTTTCCTTTTACCTGGTCAAATCAGCGCGATGGGTTAGCTAATATACAGGAAAGATTGGATCGTGCCTTAATCACTAAGGATTGGATATCGGATTTTCCTCGAGCTCAATTATCTCATCTTTCGGTGGTGGGATCCGATCACTAAGTATTGCTTCTTCAGCTTTTGCCTGTGGTTCGGCCTCGAAAAAGGCAATTCCACTTTGATGCTCGGTGGACAATGTTGGATGATTGTCGGCATCTTGTTGATTTGGCTTGGTCTACTCCTATTGTTGGTTCTACTCAATTTCAGTGGACTCAGAAATTACGTCATTGTAAAGTTGATCTTATTCATTGGGCTAAGCTCCATAATCTTAATTCGCGAGCTCGTATTGATACTACGGTTGCTCAGTTCCGTGAATTAAAAGCTCGAACTTCTAATTACTGTCATGTGGAGGTAGTTCAATTAAAAAATTCTTTAACTTCTTCTCAGGTGGAGGAAGAGTTGTTTTGGAAGCAGAAATCTCGTATTCTTTGGTTGCAAGAAGTAGATCGTAATACTAAATTTTTTCATGTCACTGCTAAACGAAAGCGAGGTCGTAATACAATTTCTGGGGTTTATAATGCCGGGTATCAGTGGGTGACTGATGAGGCTTCAGTTCAGTCGGTCTTTTTGACTTATTTTCAGAGTTTGTTTCGATCTACCTATCCTACGCATATTGACCAGTTCTTGAAGCATGTTCCTGTCCGAATTTCTGATGAGATGAATGATAATTTGTTGGTGGCACCCTCAGAGATGGAAGTGAAGTAGGCTGTTTTTTCTATTCAACCGATGAAAGCTCCGAGGCCGGATGGGATGACACCGCAATTTTATCAGAAATATTGGGATGTGCTTAAGAGGGATATTGTGGCTGCGGTATCTAGTTTTTTTATTACGAGTAATTTGTTATCCAGTTTTAATCATATTAATATTGTTTCAATTCCAATGCATTCTTCTCCGACACAGGTTAGTCATTACAGAACTATTTCTTTGTGTAATGTGTCTTATCGAATTATTGCAAATATTAGGACTAACCGGCTGAGAGGGATTAGTACCTCCCTTATCAATGATTCTCAGAGTGCGTTTATTACAGGGCGTCATATTACGGATAATATTTTAATTACTCATGAAATTCTGCATTATCTCAAAAATAAGAAAAAAGGGGCATACGGCATGGCTGGCGTTGAAACTTGACATGAGTAAAGCTTATGATCGGATTGAGTGGGATTTTGTATTCACTATGCTATCTCGCTTGGGGTTGAATGATCATTGACTTCAAATGATCAAATCCTGCATTACTACAGTTTCTTACTCTTTAAAAATTAATGGGAGTTCGGTAGGTTTTTTCCACCCCTCTAGGTGTTTGAGACAGGGTGATCCTTTATCATCTTATTTATTTATTATCTGTGCTGAAGCTCTTTTTATTGTTTTTTTACGCGCTCAACAGGCTCAGTTATTATCTGGTATTTGTATTTGTTGGGGAGCTCCGTCTATTTCTCATCTTTTTTTTTTTTTTTTTTGCTGATGATTCTATTATATTTTGTGCTGCAGTTCCAACGGAAGTTCTTTTTCTAAAGAGAATTTTGGTAGATTATGAACGGGTTTCTGGGCAACAAGTCAATTTTTCTAAATCTTCTATTTTTTTTTCGCCTAATGCCACAGGTTCAATATACTTTTTATTGTCCAGATATTGGGATTGCAAATGCAAGGGATGAATGGGCGATATCTTGGTGTTCCAGCTATTTTGGGTCGATCCAAACGGGAAGTATTTCAGTTTTTACTGACTAAAATTCAGGATAGATTAACCTTTTGGAAAGCAAAGTCTTTGTCCACAGGTGGGAAAAAAATATTGATTAAGGCTGTTTTGAGTGTTTTACCTACGTATGTAATGTCTTCTTTTAAGCTTCCCACTACATTGTGTCAAGATTTAATGAAACATATTCGATCCTTTTGGTGGTGTAATAAGGATAAAAATCGAGCAATTGATTGGGTTCATTAGGATCTTTTGTGCCGGCGTAAGAGTTCGGGTGGTCTTGGCTTTCATGATCTTGAACCTTTTAATTTAGTATTTTTGGCGAAACATGCTTGAAATTTGCAGGTTCAGCAGCAAGGGTTGTTGTATCAACTTTTTAAGGCTATGTATTTCCCAGCATTATCATTTTTGGAGGCTTCTTTGGGCTTTAATCCTTCCTGGGGCTGGCGTAGTATTTGGTCGTCTTAGAATTTATTGCAGTAGGGCTTATGATCTTTGATTGGTAATGGCATTTCAACGCATATTTGGGATGATCATTGGGTTTTTACGCTTGCACGGAAACTTTCACCACCACAGGCTCCTGTTCTGTACTCTTATATGGCGGAGTTGATTGATCATGCTACATTTTCATGGAAAGTAGATGTTTTGGCTCAGTTATTTCCTCCTCTTACGGTGCAAGAGATTCTCAAAATTCACATCAGTCGTTGGGATAAACTCGATGTTGTCATCTGGGCTCCGGAGCGATCGGGTAAATTTTCAGTGCGGTCTGCTGATCACTTGGCTATTTAATTGTCTCATTTTTCAGGGATTCCTACTTACTCTAGTGCATGGTCTTCCATTTGGCGCTGTCGTACTCTATCTAAGGTGCAACATTTTCTTTGGCACTGTTATCTTCATGGTTTACCGGTTCGTGTAGCTTTGTTGGCTCGTGGGTGTTCAGTTTTGTCTTTTTGTCCTCGTCGTGGGTTACAGGAGGAGACTGTTGTGCATCTTATGTTTTCCTGCCCTCATTCCCTTCAGGTGTGGAAGCTATCTCCGCTGCGTCTTGATTTCTCAGGTATGTCTTTCTCTTCTTTCCGAGTTGGCTGACATTTTTTGCTGCATCAGGCTATTCTCTCCTCGGAGTTTGAGGATGTTCTTAGTTTAATTTCTTTTTGTGTTTGGGGTATTTGGAAGGCACGGAATCGATTGGTTGTTGATGGGTTTTTATGGCGGCCGGAGATTGTGGTTCAAAAAATAGTACTTAGTTTTTGGGAATTCAAAGATGCTAGGTCTTTATGCTCATCCTTACATTCAGCGGCTGTACTTACTCCCGTTAATTCTTGGCGTCCTCCTCCTGCTGGAATGGTTAAATGTAATTTTTGATACTTCATTTTGTTAGAAGTCGATGTTGGGGGGCGGCGGTACGATTTTTCGTGATTTTAGAGGTACTGTGCTTCAAGCAGTCGTTTTTTGTCCGTTTTTTGTTTCTTCCTCTTTACAGGCAGAGTCTGTGACTTGTCAGCGTGTTGTCATTTGTGGTTTCGACTTAGGCTTTTCTTCTATCTAGTTTGAATCGGATGCTAAAATGGTTGTGGACGGGGTGTTGCGTGGCGACTCTTGTTAAGCGAAAATTGCTGCTATATGTTTTGATATTTCACACGATCTTCGGAGATTTTCTTCTGCAACTTTGTCTCATGTTCGTCGTAGCGGTAATCGAGTGGCTCATGCTTTAACTGCTCTTTCACGCACTGGGCTTAGATCGGATCAGTTTTTGTCTTCTCTTCCGCAGTCCATTATGCCTTTGGCTATGACGGATGTGGAGTGTTTGTGTTGTTTTGCCTTGTATGTCTTTGCCAAAAAAAATAAAAATAAAAAAAGATAACTGAACGGACTGAGTCGAATCCAAAAGGACTCGAGCTCAACTTAACTTTGTCCGGACTGTACCCGATTCATTTACCCAATCCGTACGAATCAAATTCCTCTCCGCATAAAACGACTCGTTTTGCGTAGAAATTGGAAAACCACGCGAAAGTCGCGTGATTTTGCAGCCAATTAAATAAGTCGGTTCAAAGATATAGAAAATACGTAGTTGATTCTAAAAAGAAAATCTAGAGAGAGAGAGAGAGAGGGTGGAGAAAGAGAAAAAATGTCGGGCGTTCCGAACCAGCAACCGGCAGAGGAAGACAAGAAGCCCGCCGATCAAACTGCTCACATCAATCTGAAGGTCAAGGGTCAGGTCTGTCTCTTCTCTCACCCTTTACACACATACCTTTGGGTTAGGGTTTTTTCATGATTATCGCTTATAATTCTATCTAGGGTTTTTGAATGGATGGAAACTTTTGGATTTATTTATGAATTTTGTGTTCGTTACTTTTGCGATTGCAGTTTATCGGAACTTCATGTTTATTCTGTGTTTTATAATTGGTTGTTCCACAAACTCACATATCACAGAAGATTGTTTTTGCTGTGCAGTTCTTCTTACTTGTTAGCCATGTTTTAATGACTACTTTTGTTGATTTTTTGAGGTTATTTGCTTTCTATTCTCTAGAAGTAACATTGCAAACTATAGTTCTCTATTGTTAAAGGCCTGCTTTTGTTTTTATTAATTTGTTCCTAATCTGATACAGGTTAGTACCAGAATTTTGTATACCTGAACTAGAGGTCAAAATGTTAAAATTCTGCACTTTGGCTAATCCAGATGGCCAGTTAGATTTTGATTAGAAAATAAAACACACACACATATATATTGTAAAAATGGAATGGTTTGTGAAATGAATTGACTTTTGATGCTAATCAATAGCATGTGATCCATCAAATGACATGCAGAATGGACGCCCACTCTCTTTCCCATTTTCTCAAGATTGTATAGATTAAAATGACATGAAACAAGGACAAACTATTGAGTACTTTGTCCAGCCTAAGATAGTTTGGGTTTGGGAGTATGCAGTTGGGATTTAGGGGTTTTTGTTGATTAATTATTGTTGAGGTTGTTTAGGGATTAAATCGAGTCTGCCCTACAAGAAGTTACAAGGGTTTTGAACCTAGAAAGACGTGTTGTTTAATGTGTTTTATTAGGTTGTTGGAACTCTACCTTTAACATGCTGATGAGAATAGAACTTATTTCAATATGGTCATCCTTTGGGGGTTTTACTCGGTAAGGTATTTGCTTGCATACTAACCAAAATTAATTTATACCATAGTTTAAACTATTCTTATGCTTTTATATATGTGAAATAGCTTAACTGTTCTGATGGCAGGTTCTAGGTAGCATTAATTGTTTCACTGGTTACTCCTTGTGCATGTGAGGCACATTACAGTGCTTCAATGTCTTACTCTGTGACTCGAGAATTCAAGTCTAATTGTAATAACTGTGTATGAATCCATGATAATTCATGGATTTTATATGCAACCTCAGTTTTTCAATTTGGCTTTAGATTGATGTTGCAGATGACTAAATGGAAAAAGCATTCCCATGAAAACCAAAGTATGGTGACAATGCCTTAGTGGTGGCCTTTTGCTTATTATTGGTTGATGGTGATCAAAACACAAACTGCACTTGATTCACAAGGGAGTAAGGATAAATTGAATTAGGGATTTGGTAGAACTAGGATTCGTATTTACTTCTATTTTCTATGTATATTTTTTGGTAGTGTCAAAATTTAGGGATGCTTCCTTACTGTATACATTTTTTTTATTTTTTATAGGGATGCTTCCTAATTTATTTAGGGGTGTTTTAATTTCATTGCGATTAGGTTTACTTTGATTGCCTCATAAATAAAGTTATAATGTAACGCTCGTTACCAAAATAGAGTTGAATAGTATTGTCTCTGAAAAACCTCTCCTCAATTCTTTATCTCACCTCACTTTTATTCTTCTCATCCCTTTTTGTGTATTTTCTCATCAATCTCTCTCTCTCTCTCTCTTCATATATTAATCTGTCTCGTCATCCTCTTCATTTTTCTTTGTATTAGAGCGTTTTTTTGTTCTGTACCAGTTTGCAATTGAGGGAAAACAATTTAAGCCTGCTATTGAAAGTTCTCAAACTTCAGTGCAGATATTCTAGTTGATCTGGATTCCTTAAATAAATCAGAGGATGATCTTTATGCTAATCAATTTGTGGTTGAATCGATTAACTTTGATATTGATTCTGTTTTTTACAGAATCGTTCAAGTAGAAGACAATGAAAGAATTTCCCTTTGACAAAAAAATAAGTTTGTTGGTAAATTGTTACATAATTTGAAAGATTTTGTTCTTGGAATAATGGAGACACATGGAAAAGGCGCGCTTGTCTCAAGTTTAAGGCACAAAAAGTCTGTTTTCCCTACTTTTTCTGTTATTGAGGTGCTTCTGTGGTTCTATCTCGTTTTGATCCTGACATTGCCATTTTAATAATTTTTTCACTATGGTCCAAACAAGTATAGCTGCGGTAATGTAATGTAACTGCAGATTGAATCATTTTAAGGATAGAATTAGTAAATTCAGATCTGATTACCAACGGGCAAGTGGCCTATCGGTACCAGGCTCTTACTTCCCAAAGGAAAGTTAGGGGTTTGAATCTCAGTGGAGGCATGGGTGTGTAATTAACCCAACTAAGAAGAAAAAAAAGGCAATAGGATATACTAACAAAGCATTTTATTATTATTATTTTTTAAAGCAAGTAGATTCAGTAGTTTTTTTAATCTAACAGTTTTGACGTCCATATTCATAATCTCCAGTATCATGGACGGTGGTTAAGAAACATATTTGTTCTAAGAAATATAAATTTTCTAACTGATGGCCTAATGATTTTTCATGGCCTGATTGATGTGGGAGATACAATTTTCTTCTGCTGGAACCCCTTTAACAAAATAATTGTCAATTATGAACTAATGATTTATCCACATTTTTTATTTTTGTTTCTCTCTTTTTAAATGAATTGTATTCTATTATAGGATGGGAATGAAGTATTTTTCAGGATCAAAAGAAGCACTCAGCTGAAGAAACTGATGAATGCATACTGTGACAGACAGTCAGTGGAGCTCAACTCAATTGCCTTCTTGTTTGATGGACGTCGTCTCCGAGCAGAGCAGACTCCTGACGAGGTCTCTCTTTTTCTCTCACACACACCTCCTCCCCAACACACATCACTGCGTGCGATTGCAGTCACATCAAAACACACACACCTTGCTTTAATGCATATCATAACTTATTAATGTTTTCCCCTTTTTTTCATTTGGTGTTTCAGCTAGAAATGGAGGATGGGGATGAGATCGATGCAATGTTGCACCAAACAGGCGGCTCGACGGTTTGAAGCATGTTTCACATATTTTGGTCTTTTCATAGACTTGAAATCTAAGCACTTGAATTTGGGTTTGAATATTTAGACATTTATTTAGCGAATGGCAAGTTATGCAGGATTAGGTACTCCAAGTTGTTGAAAACGTATATTGCTGCTTGTGTTTAGTAAATTCTCTCTTTAAAGTCCTGATTAGCAAGAAAAGCTAGTTTTGGGTGTGCCAGACTTAGAGAAATCTGGACGGCACTGTCAGCATGTCCAGTTCATTTATATATATTTTTTCTCCCTTACAATTATTCTGTCTGTCAATAAGGTATAAGATAGTAGGCCGGTGTGATTTGATCCTAATAGCATATCAAAATCAAAATCAAATGGTTTTCTGTATTGAAAGCATATCAAAGCCTTACAAAACTTTTAGGATCTATTCACACGATGCTATCCTATAAGCGTGTAATATATATTACTCTTATTTCATATTAGTTGTTCATTTTAAAAATACTCACAATTTTTGTTAGTCAAAATTATCGAAGTAGATTTTTAATATGGAATATAGATAGTATATGAGTATATAAAAAAAATATGACTAAAAATGATTTCAAATGACTCAAAAATATAAAATATGAGACGGAGATAGTATATATTATATATAGTGAATATTTAAAAATACTTGACGTAATTCCTTTCTTATTATATTTAATAGTTGAGAACCTACAAACATGGAATAAAAAGCTCTACAATCTATCTGGACCTTGCTACACATGGCCCACAAAAAATGGAGATGATGCGTAAGAGGAGCTAGCACTAGTTCACCAAGTTAATTGAATCATGAGCAACAAAAGGAACTAGCTTAGCTTTGGTTTGATGATCTTTTGAATTGTGCTGGTTATGTTGGTGGAAAGAATCTGTTGAGATTAAATGGTAAAGTGTAGAACTCTTCATTTCTATTGTCTCCTCTAAATGTTCTGAACTTTACCCACCATGGCATCCCCCGATCTTTCTTCGACTTTTCCACCTCTAATGTGTTGTCAAGAAACACTGCAACGATCAATCCCACCGTTGCCGGAGATGAGAATATGGTATTCAAGAATGCATTGAACTGCGACAACCACCACCGAAAAAGAACTTAAAGGTAGAATTAGTGAAAGCTTCAAATTTCTACTTCATAAAGTTTCATTTTGTCAAAAACAAATTATTCAAAAATGTGGGTTTGTCAAGATAGATAATACGTACCCATCCAGCATTGGTGCGAACAAGACCACCCTCAACAGTCCAATAACCATTGAAAAACTGAGGAACAGATATCCCAAGAAAGAGCGAGAGCCCCGTTATAATAAGGTTTCTCATTGAATTCATGTTAGTGAACTGAAGAAATGATAGGCCTACTGAACCTGCTCATAAAAAGAGGAAACCTCGTGAGTGAAAATGAGAAAAAAATACATCTTGTAAATGCAAAGGGCATACGTACCCACAAGGCCGAAAAGGACACAGTACAATGCAGCATATATAGGGAAGGGTATGGATGCAAAAACAGCTCCAAATTTTCCTGCAATCAGGTTAAGCAAAGAGATATTGTTAGGACTTTTCAGGAAACCTTGGTAACCAGCCAGTTGAACATGAGCTCAATCCAAATTGCGAAGTTGTGGTTCATGAAGGAAAAGCTAAGTGAACCATAGATCTGATTATTGTCCTAGATTCTCTAAACAAACACACACACACACACTATACTCTGTTTTCTTATGTGCGTGACATGCAAGGATACAGGCAAAAGATCATTGAAAGTCATTATCCTAATACCATGAATTTCTGTGTCTGAGAAGTTGGCAAGCACCAACCTAAGATTGAGAAGAACATCATGAATCCAGCAGAAATTTGAACAACTCTACGACTTCCAACCCGAGTCAGTCCGAGTAGCCCCACATTTTCCCTGAAATGCACAGCCAAGTTCTTCGTCAGATTACCTTGTAAATATGCAAGAATATCAGCAAGTAATCATGGTTCATTCATTTGTGTATTCTTACACAGATACAGTGGAACCAGCGCCTGTTCCAAAAAGACCATCAAGCAAAATGCCAATCCCCTGACAAAATGATAATGCAAAACCTATTTAAGCTCTTTAAAGGACACAAAATTGAAGCATACTTCAAATTTTAAAAATGATTATGAGATGAATAAAGGAACTATTAAGACTGGCAATTATCAACAAAATAAACTAGTTGTGACATATTCGAAAGACTAGTGAGAAACAAGCATCACGGTGTTGCTACAATGATGGTCCACCATAATCAACATTTCGATTACATCTTGAAATTTGATAAGTTAAATCATATTTGAGCCATTCCCTAATTAGCTTTGTCTCCAACATTTGAACTAATTCAATGTTCAGTCATAGAAAAACCTGCATATGTCAACCAACCCTGACAGTATACTGAAAATTCCAGATTTTCATAGTTCTGTATTTAATTCTGTTCAATTTGAACCAAAAGTATAGAACTGTTATTTTAAGCCTTTGCACTGTTTGGGATTATAAACCATATTATGGTTCAAAAGAATTGAAAATCATGCCTAAGATGTTCTCATAATATATTTGACTCTGAAAGTAGACATGCTCGGGTAATTCTTACAACCATCTAATGATTAACACATTGGCATACTATTTTCTAACAGGAACAAACTACAATGAGCTTGCATTAGGGCGCCCTCATAGTAGACTTGCTCTTTCTAATATTATATTATCAATGCATGGGGCACATTCAGTGATGCACCCAGAAATTTTGTTGAGGGGGGCGCCATTTAAAAGTATTAAATACAAAACATAATTTTGATTGATTATAATTTCGTTTGTCACACTTACAATTGTTCTCACTGAAATTTTATATTAAGTAAGATTTTCATAAAAAAATTGAAGGAAAAAACTATGTATCTCTTAGGAAGTGAATACTATTAAGAATTTGAGGGTGGCAATTTAAAATTTTAAAAATCTATATATACAAAAACAAATATAAAAACACAGAGAGAGGATTAAATTAGATCCAAAATTATCAAGGGGGGCATACTTTTAATTTGGAGATTTTTCATTATTTCAGCAGGGACAATTACCCAATTTTACAAAAATTATACATAAATAATACAAATAAAAAAAATTCAGTGGGGGAAGTTGCCTCCACTGGGCACCACATAGGTCCGTGCCTGGGCACATTTATTTCTTCTAATTGACAGCAGCAGTTTATAGGAGCTCCTTGAGTTGCAACTTTGCAATTGAAACTGAATACTCAATAGATAAAAAGAAGAGCAATTTCGTTAAACCAATCACCTGCCAGCCAATGCCTCGGCTCAATACATAGGCAGGAGGCGGAGTGGCAATTGCCAGACGAGATGCTGCCTGGTATGCCCCAGTAGACTGCACCACAAAAAGTAAGATCACGATGATATATTTAACAAGCCAGAAGTGATCATCTCTGAAAGCATAAATATATTATAAAGTAATAGGAGAGCATAAATACTTCATCCTGTAATACATTCCATTAATGATGGATTACTTTAAGATTGGTTCGCTATTGTTACAGTGGAAATAGTTTAGGATTGGTTCATTTTTAAAAAATTTAACCTCACTCCGCACAGTTTCAAATTTTAGAACAAGAATGTTTAAAACTGTATTAGTGATTTAAGTGAAGAATTGACTGATAGTTGGTTTTCCCTTGTTCTTTTCCTTTTTTCTCTTCTTTTATGAGACTAAGTCAAGGTACCGAGATAAACACAAAATTTTCAACTTTTAAAGCATGTTATTTATGTACCAAAGTCCCTAATTTCATATTATATGATGCTGGGATTTTAAACAATTTGAATATTTTTATTCTTCACTAGATCACTGTTTCAAAGTTAGCACTTTAATTTGCTATGTCCCTGTATTCCCCCCATTCCCCCCCCCCCCCCCCCCAAACAAAAAAAAGGTACAAACATGCCTAAGGGGAACATTGACAACTTTTCAAGGCTCAGTAGTTTTCAGGAACCTATTCCTACGGATAGAGCGAGCTGCAGAACCATCAGTGAGACCTAGACCCATCTTATCTCATGTTGCCTCACACAAAGTCATTAAAGCTTGTTTAGCATCTCTGTTCTATGTGTTTTTTTTTTCTTCCTAAATTCTCTGTTCTATGTGTTAAATTCTCGAAGTCACCCTAGCCTTTCTCAATTCAATTTTAAGTTATTTAACTTTTGATTCAAGAGACTTATTAAGACTGTAAACCTGTTTAACTTAACATTCTAGAAAATTTAGTCCATCAATAAGATATTCTTTTTCTTTACTAAAATTGGTCAGTCAATATGAAACTTCTGTCATATAGATTTCCCTATCTAATTCAGTTTCTCTAACAAATCCATGTTCTTAGAGTTCTCAAGCCATATGTCAATACATATTAAATGTAAGGTGCTTCACAAGCCATATGTCAGCAACCTGTATATGTGGCTATTGTATCTCACAAATCACAACCCTGACCATCCTGGTGCGAGTCTCCTGACAAAGAACAACACGCAGATCTGACAAATCTATTGCATATGGTGTTTCAAGTGTTTTATGAGATTTTGGATGTCGTATATTCTTTCCTCTACTCTTTACACACTTGTTACGTATTGTTAAACAAATATCAAAACAAATTTCTGCTCGCTTGATTAATAATTGCATTCCCTCCCAATATTTTACAAATACATATCATATTTAGATAATTTATAACAATATCATTATCACCAGCTAAAATTTCTATATACCCACTAAAAAAAATATGAACTATCAGATAAACATCCAAAAACATATCAAATTTCAAAGTAAAATCAATACACAACAACAAATCACATGTTACATTGTTACCTGTAAAATTGTCAGACTAAATAAACCAAAAAAAAAAAAAATATAGTTTCATTTAGCTTTGTTGAGATAAAAAAAGTCTGACTTCTTAGCTGGTGAAATTGTTTCGAAATTATCTGAATATGATAATTATTGGTAATATATTGGAAGGGAATGCAATTATTAGTGGACCGTTCTTGGTGAAAAAAGATCCAACCCAGCAATTGCTGGGTGTCAAAGGTTCTAAAGCACAAATTCTAGAAGCTTGGCTTAGCTTGGAAGCAGTATAATCCGAAAGGTTCTAAACCAAAAACTGTAGTACTATGCACATCATGTGTAATTTATGTGTATAAGATGTCAAATTTCAATACAGATAGAACTCCAGGAGACATGTTGAATTTTGGACAATATCCATGTTTACAGCTCAGTATAAAATGGAACAATTGACCTGTGGTATCAAGTTGTCTAATTTAGTTTCCATGTCAGAAGAATAGATTATAGATATGAAATGTTTCTTTAACAGCCATGCTAAGAACAAAAATTTATGCAGTTTGAGATTAGGGGCCACAAATAAAATAAAAGGAGGCTCACAAATTGAACCATCCATATGAACCCATTGAAAGAAAGCAATATGGTGTTTAACCAAGGGAATAAAGGCAGGCATTTACGGAAGCCAATTCAGTACCTCAATCATTGACACAAGAACTGCTGACATCATGGCAAATGAATGACCAGCTGAAAAGGTAGGTGGGCCCCACTGCAAAGGGTATGGGAACTTGAACCTGAATTATTTTATCAAGTGGAATATATAAGTTGCAAAAATATAGCATAAATCGAGATTTTTTATTTTTATTTTTTAAAAAAGAAAGAAAATTACTCAATATAACATACCAAGGGGCAGCTGATATGAGATTCGCTCTGTCCGTACGGCAACTAACTTGAGTTCGAGCAGGTTTGTCTCGATAGGCCCCACTTGCAGTCAGTATAAGGGCATAGATCCAAATGATTGCAACACATATCAACACGGGAAACCGCTCAAAAATGGGAACATCCCTAAGTGGTCTCACATGCTTTAGATACTGCAATCACATAACTCTTTACTTGCATGAGGAAAGAAATAATCATCAAGTAAAGAGGCATCACTGCAATCATCATACAAAAGCTATGTTGCAAGACTCTCAAAATGCATGAAGTACTAGTATCAGACACACGACAATTGAGTATGGATATTGGATGTGTCCAACATATCCAATTGGGCATGCACCTACAAGCAAAGTCTTTAATCTAGTTTATGATATAACAGTAGAAATACAATATAGAAGGAAAATGAGAGAATTGTGTAAAGGCTTGAATGAGATGATCACTCATTCACAACTCTAGTATTTATAGATAAAAAAGAGCACATGCTCATATTACAAGAAAGGAAATAAAATAATCTAAATCAAATCACATAATATTCTATGGCATATTCTATAGCATAATCAGATCTATTCTAATACGGTAAGTCATTCCATAAATTGTGGCTATCATATTTGCTAACACTACCCCTCAAGTTGGTGCGTCGATATTTGAGATGCCCAACTTGGACAATGCATCTTCAAACACGGTATTGCTAGCACCCTTCTTCAGAATCTAGAAGTTGCAGAGTGCAAATCTGACTAGCGATGATTTTCTCTCAAATGAAGTGCCAATCAACAAATCAAAATTGTCTTCTCAGACCGTAAACAACCAATCATGTCTCCTCAGACCGTAAATAATCAGCAATGTCTCCTCAGACCATTTTTCCTTCATACACATGTTTAAAACATGTAGATGGAAGAATCAACAATGTCTCCTCAGACCATTCCCCTTCATACATATGTAGATGAAAGAATCAACAATGTCTCCCCAGACCATAAGAAGAAACAACCATGTCTCCTCAGACCATTTCTGAAAAGGTGGTGTCAAACTCGCAACACCCTCTTTGAGGTCGGATCACCCTGCCTACCCGACACCTCCTGGATGGGCGATCTCACCTTAGACTATTCCCGAATGGGTGGTGCCGAACTCGCAATGCCCTCATTGCAGTCGGATCACCTTGGCTCTGATCCCAAGTAAAAATACAATATAGAAGGAAAATGAGAGAATTGTGTAAAGGCTTGAATGAAATGATCACTCATTCACAACTCTAGTATTTATAGATAAAAAAGAGCACATGCTCATATTACAAGAAAGGAAATAAAATCAAATCTAAATCAAAGAAAGGAAATAAAATCAAATCTAAATCAAATCACATAATATTCTATGGCATATTCTAAAGCATAATCAGATCTATTCTAATACGGTAAGTCATTCCATAAATTGTGGCTATCATATTTGCTAACAATAACTGTATATAATATTTTCCTATTACGTTCCTTTTGTCACATTTAAATTTTAAAATGAGTGAAGGGACTATGTTGAACATTATATGTTACATAAAGATACCATTATTTTATCCTAGAAAATGAAAGAAAAATACGTGTTTTAAAAAAAATATTAAAAAAAAAAACATGAATATTTAGTAATGTCCCATTTGACTAGGTCTCAAGATCTAACAAATTCAACAAACTACTCAAATATGTGTAAAGAAAGGCACTTACTTGTGACAATCCAATGATCAATAATAGCGTTGGTATCCCAATTTCTACGCAATTACCCAGCTGAAATTCAAAGAGCACAACAATAAATTTGAGGAAATTATTATACAGAATAAGCAACATGAATTGCTGCAGAGAACCTTTAACCTCCTCTTGGGAAGGTGGACATACCACCGAAGCCAAGGCTTTGGTGGTGTCTTGATCATATTTAAAGCTACAAAACATAGGAAGGTTGTGATGCACAAAAAGATGTCAAGGAGTGCACCATATGTAGGTGAATTGGCATGTTATAGAAAGGTTTGGAGAGAGAGAATTCATGTGGCCGACCCCATTCATATGGGATTAAGGCAAGGATGATGATGATGATGATGAATACAAGTATAGTCCCCCTTAATCAAGATGCTAGTAAGGGTCGACTGAGTTAGAACCAACTTTCAGCCTTGTAACACATACCCTTAAAGATAAGAACCAGTGTTTTCACTCTTGGTAACTTGAGCTTTTTTATCAATTGCACAAAGCACTGGCCTCTATATGGTTAATCGCAATTAATCTTTATATTTTTCTTCTAACATCAAATAGTGTCCTGATAGAAATAAAGGAAAACTAGAAATTGCTTCAAGTGTTTGTCAAAATAAGGCACAAAGTAGAAATTACAGAATTTGGATATTATCATACTTGGAAAAGAGACAAATTGAATTTCATACTTGATAGGCATTAAAAACATGACAATACATTAGAAACCATCTAGGAGAGTAGAATGCATGATGATCTAATATGGTCAATGGCCCTAGGAGGTCCTAACCCAATCAAAAGGAAGGTTACATTCCTTTGATCAACATAATGGGTAACTTATCTACCTTCTACTGGCCAATAAAACACATACCGCAGGAAATCCTCGTTGAAACAACCCCAAACCAACCAATCCAACCACAGGTGCCATACCAAGGGGACTGAAAAACCTGTAAAGGAAAAACAAATAACTAAACACTGCCATCTTGAAAAGAAAGTTCAATCCCAACAAACTAAATGAGATGATACACTTGTACCGTGAAAAGAGACCCCAAACTTGGCTGTAACCCAAGATGATTTGTATGCTTGCGGCTACAATCAAAGCTCCTTGGATAGCTCGCATTGTTTGTATGAATCTCTGCAAACCAATTAGAGGTGAAGATATCTTTCAATACCCTATCACACAAGAAAGCCTTTAAGTACGTCTGTAACAGTAATGCAAACCTTGGAAAGAGCCCTTATTGAAAAACTCAGATGTTGACTGTGGATTCCCAGATCAAAGTAGTTAGTTTTTAAAAGCATTTTGGGAACTACGGACATGAATTCATTTCATATCTGTTTCATAGCTGTGAAGACTAGTCTACTTTGTTTTCACCTACAATTTAAAATGAACATTTCGTTTTACAAACCATTTCGTCAAAAGGAATCCTTTTGAGATTTTATAAATGACCTTATATTAATTTTTATCATCATTTTAGGGATTAAACAAACGTGTGACAATGCAACAGGAATATATATTTTTTTGTTTCCCATGTGGCTCTCAAAAACTCCAAAAATGAAAGAGGGACGGATGAAGGAGAAAGATAACTCACATCATGAGAGTCAGTAATTCGTTGCAGTGATGAGTCGCTTATAATATAAAGTATGGGAATTACATAAGCAAAGGAACCTCCAACTATGGCTGGCAACCTGGTTCCAAAAAGTGCTTGGAGAAGTGTGTTAATGCCAGCTACAAATAACAGAGTTTGTATCACCCGTGCCTTGTCACCCTGTTTGATAAGCAGCAACATGGTCAAAATAATTTTGAAAAGAAAACGATTCTCCATTTCAGAACCACCAAAGTACTTTGTCGCAGCAAGAAGATCTACAAAAATTGACCATATAGATTGACCACAAGAATCCAATCTAAAGTAGGTTATGGACTAGTTGATAGTGAATAAGTGTACAAGGGATAAACAAGTATCTGGAAATGTGGCATTTAGGCCAAGGGAGTCATCAGGCAGGACCCAACTAATAGTGATTTAAATTTCTTGAATTTTCTAGGTCAGAAAAAGTCCATTGACTGGAAAATGTGGACATCATAACCAAGTGCATGTTACAATAATGGAAAATATGGAAGTTGAATATATAATTAAGGAGTAAAAATAAATAAAATCCAGCTTACATCAGTTCCACCCATAAATGGGACGAGCGCTGTTGGGATCATTACACTTGTGCCCAGCACTAATATGTAGTTTTGAAATGCTAACAGAATGGTTTCGGCTGCAAGACAAAGCTATAAACATAAATGAATATAACAAAGAAATAATAAAAAAATCATTTTACCGGGCAAACAGACTCAACGTTCCTGCTGACAAAATGGCTTGGTTTCAACATTGGCTTAGTACAAAAGTTAGTGAATTTGATTGAGATACGATATTTCATGTTTCAAGAAATGAAATATTGAATATCAAAACTTCCAAGGCATCAAAATAACTTTTTGAATAACAAATAGTTCCTGTTTAACTGATAGCTCAAAAACCAAGGGACAAATTTATAGATACCCTCATCATTAGGGCATATATATCTATACCAATTAAATCAGGTGGTTAACTAACCTCAGGAATGACAAGCCATCCTATTTCTCAGCATGCTCCAAATGTGAAATAACAACTTAAATGCTGTTCAATTTTCTTGTGAACTGTCAAAGTTGGTGACAGTAACATTTCTTAAAATCTCTTTGCAAGATTATTCAATATCTTAGGTTGTATAAACTTACAACTAGCTCCACTACCGGTGATTAAATAAGCAAACAGTTCTAATTTCTGAAAATCATATTTTCAGACTTCCTTTTACGAACACTTCACTTGCCTAATTTGGGTTTCCAAAGACTTTCCAAGTGGATTGAAACCATTGGACAAGTAAATCAAACAATCAACAGTGCCTTATCCCAACAAGCAGAGTCAATACCACGAATCTTGATTTACTATAGCTCTGTGTCAAGAGTCATACCTTCAATTGAATTATAAATGTGGGGCATGCTTCATACCTTTTCATCTCGATTCTCCACCTTCTAGCAACATTCAAATGGCACAGACTCACTGCTTCCCCTTGGCGCAGTCACTTTCTTTCAGGATGTTTAAACAATGTCAATCTACACCTTGCTTCTTCATCCTCACATGGGTCACTAAAGTTCTCCACATACAGTAGTTTTTTTTTTTTTTTTTTTCTCCCCTTCCCTATTTATAGCATTTCTATTCATCCAGTCTCCATTCCAGATCAACTTTATTTCATTCCTACATAATCCAACTTTCTATTTTTAGCATCAGTAAATTTATGGTTCTTGTATTTTATTTTCCTTTCAAAATATCCTCCTATTCTGATTTGAATGAAGCAAACAACTGACAGGTTGAAATCTAAAGTAACATAGAAGCATTAAGCAAATAAAGCTTAAAATCCAAGCCACAATCACACAAATGAGAGAACAACCATCATGTTAAAAATGATACAAAATTTTGACACCTAGGACTTGATTTCAAATTTTTTTGGATAGCCAGCGCATTTTTAGAAGTATCTAGGGTAATCTCCCTTATTATTATTTTTTAAATGGTTGCACTAGAAGTGAAAACTATATGTGGTTGGCTCATTCGCTGATCTGAAATCAAAGGACAAAGAAAATGCTCCTGCAAAAGAGTATGTGAGATGAATATATCTATATTCTCACTTCTTGAATGATATGTGCCATCCATGCAAAAGCTTTGTAGACTAAGATAATTGACCCTACGAAAAATGATTAGTCCTGGACCTAATTTTTCACCAAAGAACCTGCAGCGTCTACAAAAATTGAAGGATTAGGATTTATAAAGAACACAAATATTAAATCCTAGCAAGTATAGATCAAGATGTACTAAAACTACATTCTCCATTAACTGATCAAAATCCTAAAAATAAATGTTCATAGTGACTCAATATTTACGCAAATTTTGAACACACAAGTGGCTGAGATACCGTATCTGAATACCAAATAAAGGATCATAGACATGTTATCAACTATTTAACAATAGTGACCTGATAACCTTGTCAATTTCTAACCAAAAACGGGCTTCTCATACCAAGGAATATCTAGAAACTCACCATGTCCTTCCATGTACATAGATCCATCATTAATGCATTAACCATTTAATTTGATAGTTTCACTTGATTCAAGTTACCACACCCACAATTATCAAAATGATGCTCAGTGTCACTTCCTCAACCTTTTGGCTTACTTAAGGCGAAAAAAACTATGCCTAGACCCATTAATGGCATGGTAATTATTAAATTCATCACCTGAATAAAAATTCCAACTTGAGCCCAAAATAAAAAGTTAGATTCTTGACATCATAACAATTAGATGTAAGGAATATTTCATTTTAATGTAGCATGAAGAATGCTCTTCAATCATGATTCCTCAAGCAAAATTCTCCATCTAATCAGTAATTTTAGGTGTATACTGAAATTCTGTTTCATTGGCAAGAAATTAGAGGACAAAAAGAAAGAAAACTTGGAATCTCACACCAACCTCCTCAACCCACCCAGTCATAGGACAAGGATTATGCATTATGCAGTATTCATCAAATTTGCCAGCAACCAAACACGATAATTTTCTTAGTACCTGCTTGGTAGCAGAGAAAACCTAGGAAAAGAAAAGGAAGCAGGAATCTTCAAAAAGCCACTTAAATCCAACCTTTCTACATTTTTCTTTTCATATATATCTTAAGTAGCCTAAATGTCAGGAGACCCATTTGCCCAAGACTCTGAAATGTTTGAAAATTTTAACTTGTCACCAATGCAGAGAAAAAACAAAAACAGTAACAGCATTATCTTCCAATTTCACCCACTTTTTTGGTTACAAACTTACATACTCAAAAATTACACTTAAAATCTATTTCTAATTTCTAAGGAGTGAATACTAAAACAAAGAGATACCCACAAAAAAATAAATGAGGTTATGTTATTGAAGTGACTCTGCAACTATTTCAATACCCACAAAACCATTTCTCATTCAGAATATATCTTTTGATATAACACAAAATACACATTTGTGTATCTAGCCTTGTCAGTGAGTATATGTGGACATATATGCACACACACATATATATATAGACTGAGAGAGAGAGGAAGAGCCTACCCCATGGAGGGTTAGAGTCTATGCAGTATTCAAGGTCTTGGAGCTGTTCCATGGGAAGGTGGGTTATGTCTGCCATTGTTGAAGCTTTGAGAGCTTCACAGAGAACCAGAGAGAGATAGAGATTAGAGAAAGGGTTTTGAAAAAACAAAGAGAGAACCAAAAGAGAATAAAGAAGAGGAAGAAGAACTAAGAACAAAGTAAAAAGCTTTCAGAATGTGGAGAAAAAGTTGAAAAAAGAGGAGAGAGAGTGAGAGAGAACCAATAAATATGCCAAAGGCAAAAGAAATATTATTAAGACTTCTTTAGTTGAAACCCCCTGAAGCTGAAGCCAGAGGATGAGTCTCGTTTTGAAATTACTAGTACTAAGTACTTTACACTGTACACCTGCCCCTCTTTCACGATATATTTACAGAAATGCCATCCTGACCCACGTTCCCAAACAGTGTCTCTAAAATATTCCTCCAAGCTTCAAAACAAAACAAAACAAAAAAAATTCTATACGTGAAACAAAAGTAGAGAGAGAGTTTGGCATAATATCCTTAGGAGCGAGAGAGTTAAATAAATGTGGACAAACAATATACTTTGCTATTATGAATTATGATTACAGCATTTATATGAAAAATATATATATATACAAACATTTATGAGATATATATACAAAATGAGGTTTTAATGATATGTTTCCTCCCAATAGAATTCTGTAGGTGACAAATTAGAGTACTATATCTAGTAAGTACAAATAAAGGAAAAAATTGGGAAAGAGGAAACAAGTCATTCCTAAACTTTTGATTAATCAAAAGCCCCAAAACCATGACACGTCACATGTGTTCCCCACGTAGATCCACCGCGAGATTTGATTTACAATGACACCCTTACTCATCATTGTACATTTGTTCTGCTCTTCTGAAATTTTGTGGGGTCCTCAGTACCTGGAAATGAGTTTGCCATCATCACCTTAGACTAGTGAACACTAAAAATGCAAATCACAGTGCACTTTTTATTTTTATTTTATATGTAATAGTTTTTTTCATTTGAATTTTTTTTGACTTTGTGGTCCCAACGTGTCCCAATTACCTCATCATAAGAAATGCTTAGTTTTAGCTGAGATCATGAGAGTAGTCACAATCAATCATGACTATAGATTAAAAACTAGAATTATGAATCATTAATCCTTTGATCTAATTATTAACTTTTTTAAAAAAATTACTTCATTTGTCTCAATTTAGATATCACTTTTTAAAAATATGAATTTTTAAAAAGACACATAGAAAATGCCTTGTCTCCTTAAAAAGTTATTAATTTGTTCTTCTAAATTTTTAATATTCAACTTTAAATTTTTAAGAATAATGATAGGGAGACCGATAAATTAACCCCAAATAAGTATTGAATGACGTGTTTTTGTCCACCTCATATACTTAAATAATTTTCAAAAATAATTATTTAACACGTGATAAGAATGACCAACCAAGTCAAATTCAATACTAATTCGGTGATTCTTTTTCGAGTTCCCCTATCATTATTCAAATTTTTAACTCCAATAACATATATGGAAAGATATAAAAAAATATATTATTTGAAAAAGGGAAGTAACAATTATTTTGGATAGACCAAAAAGAAAAGTATGATATTTTTTTTGGGATACAAGGAGTAATATTGAAGCTAAATTTATTTTCAATTTTTGTGTTGACTATCTTACGTAGATATGGCAGATATGATAGATTTATTATTAAACCATTTGTCATGATCGTTAGTACAAAGGGAAAACTACGTATAGGTAGACTTAATAGCCTTAAATAACAAAATAGTCTACTTTTAAAGTTCATTTTTCAATTTGATTAAATTAAGCAAATTAATTACAAATACATCAACAATTATTTTTAAGGTCCAAAATACCCCTCAAACTCTAATTCTAAAATACTAAAATATCCTTATAATTATATAAGAATAATAATACTTGGTCCAATATTTTAGAGCCTAATTTGGTCCGGTTCTTACGTGGCATGGACACATCATCGCTCTTACCATTTTTTTTTTCTTTCCAAAAGGACGTTTCTCTCTCTCTTCAATTAGATTGGGTTCCATTCCCTCTATCTTCTTTTCTTCATTCCGTGCCCCTCTCTATCTTCATCGTATCTCTCTCTTCCTTCTCATTCCAGTATGAACAACCACTTTGATGAATTGGTTTGTCTTTGTTGTCTTCCTCATATCTCTTATACAGGGGCTTAAGCTTCATTTTTTTATCTACAATGATTTGCTTACCAAAAATAAATAAAGGATAAAGTGAAAATTTTGGTTCTTGGGTCAATTAATCTATATCTAGTATGTTACATATATAACCTAGGAAAAAAAAAAAAATTCAGAAAATTTTGAAATAAGAAAAGATCTAATTGAAGAGAGAGAAAGTCAAGAGTGAAAATCTATTTCAAAATTAAGAACAAGAGTCACAACTTAAACCATAAACCTCTAGGGTTGATCCCAAATTTTACTATTGAAGAGAAAATAAAAAAGAATGAAAAAATCAGACCATATCTAATTGAAGATATGGTATATGTATAAACATATAAATAGTATATGTAAATAGGGAGAAAATGCCGTGTAAAAAAAATTTGGTTTTGTAAGATATTCCCTAATCTTTTGTCACGCTTGTTGCAAAGGATTTGATTTTCTTCACAAATTTTCTCACTCACGCTCCTTCCAAACTTAGGATCCACCGTTAAGATTCAATAGTTTCTTATTGACATATGGTATTTTGAAATTATATAACTCTAAGGATATTTTGGTATTTTAGAATAAGAGTTTGGAGGGTGTTTTGGATCTTAATAATTATTATTGATGTATTTGTAATTATTTTATTTAATTCAATCAAATTGAAAAATGAATTTTAAAAGTAGACTATTTTATTATTTAAAGGTACTAAGTCTATTTATACGTAATTTTTCCTAATACAAATCGGATACGACCTTGTACAACATGATTATTTATTTAAGCTGTCCAATGTGATACTAGGGGATGTTCCAATTTGTGTGGGACAGGAAGGGTGGGTAGGGTATTAAAAGTGGACATTCAGTGCTGTTCAATTGATCTCTGCAGTGCAAATTGACTGCACAATGCAGAGGGAGGTTGATGGAAATTTAATGTGATTACAAGGGCAACCAAGTTGGTCATAAATTGTGACCTCAGTGTTTGTTTTTTTCGTTCGCTTTTTGTTTCTTAATAACAAGTAAGGTCTGATGAGAAAGGAAAGAATATATGCTGGCCAAGCAGAGGACAACAGTTTGTGTTGTGCTTTATATCTGGATGGGATGGTTAAAGTTGTAAATATTTGGAAATACAAGACTGATATTTGAACACTACAAGGTAAAGTCAAATTGTTACGTTTGCCGCGGCTAGCTTTCGGCTCTCTTGACTTTCTCTCTCTATATATACCATATATATGTATATGTATTGCATGTGTATATATATATATATAGCATAGGAAAACACAACCATCTCTCGGTTCTCATGACTCTCTCTCTCTCTCTCTATATATATATATAGCATACATATGTATATGCGTATATGTATATATAGCATAGGAAAACACAACCACCTCCCTACATTCCCACGATCACGACATGCGCCTTCAAATCCGATTCCCATGAGTCCATTACAAACTGGGCTCTAACAGATTATAAAATTATATATTTATTGTTTCCTTCACACATCCCAAATTTTACAATCTCACTTTCTCTCTCTAGATGAGTTTATGGTTCTAAATAATGGCCCGCCAAATCTGAATCCGGTGGAAGTCTATAGGGCCCAAGCCCAACCCTAACCAAAATGGCAATATTGGTATGGAAAAGTGGATGAAAATAAATAAAAATATATATATATTTATATATTTTTTGAAATAAATATTGAAAAGTTTTTTTTTAGGTAAATATAAATATTGAAAAGTTATTCCATGGTAATGTTTAAAATGTATAAACTTTATTCAATTATTTTTTTTCTGTCAACAAATATTAGGAGGGGATGGAATATTTGTGTCTAGGGAAAGCAAGTAAAGAGGGAATGAAGTAGTTTATAGTTGTTATCTGATTGAATAGTAGAAAAAAGTAAGGAAAACGGTACTATGATTTGGCCATGAACCAAGGACTAATGGCATTTTTTACTCCTCCCATTTGGCCATTATACCCTTCAAAAAAATTATAAGATATAAAATAAAATTGATATACTAATTTGTTTTTCTTGAAAAGAAACTAACACATTCATTTATCTATACAAAAACAAAACACCTCCTCTTTTCTTCTTCTTTTTTTTTTATTTTTTATTTTATTTTAAATACCTTAAAATAAAAAATAAAAAATAAAAAAAAAACTTCATAGGAGGTAAAAGAAATATGATTTGATATATTAATTAAGTTGGTGTAGCAACCTAAGTCACATAGAGCGAGAGCAAATTCGACAGTAGCAGAATTAAATCATAAATAGTGAGAATTTAAGTCAGAGCGCGCGCGAAGCATGAGAGTGACACCCGTTGAAAAAGATCGTATGACTTAGGTAACAACCCAATTATCCATCTCATCTGAAACTCAACTCAATTAATGAAAATTGATGAATTGGATTGATATATTATATACTCTTTTTTATTACTCTCAAAATTACCATCTCACATTTATGTTACATTAGTTTAACAATTATGGGTCAAACAACACACACAAGTATGATTTTTTATTTTTATTTTTTATATATAAATTATTATTATTATTTTGTCTTGAAAATTAACAAACCTACATTTTTTTTTGTCAGCGGGGATTTAAACCTTCAATACTTGAGGTTGAAATATATCGATGGATTTTTGCCCTTGGTATAAGATAAAAATTGCAAGTCAAAGTTCATGCCTTTTAAAATAAAATACAAAAAAACAAATATAACCTTAATTTTATAATACAAATGGAATTCGGAATAACTTAGGTTAGCTTCCAAAACCCACGAAAAGGAAAATCAAATATAATCTAATTTTATAACAATATGGAATTTGGAATAACTCGGGTTAGCTACCAAAACCACCGTCCAACAGACCGCTTTTCAATGCCCTCGTGACCCAAATAAAAAATACAAAAACAAAAACAGAGATGACTCGCAACATCACCATCCATATATTTATCGTCTATATATAATCAGTTAATACGTGGCAGTAAGTCTAGTGGCAGTGTGACACTCTGACTTCAAACGTTTTGGTTTTATTTTTTAATTTTATTATTATTACTATTATTATTACTTCTCTCCGTTCCTTATTAGTTGTTCATTTTTAATTTTATGACTTTTTAAGGAGATATGCAATTAATGCATTGTTCCCATTTCAAATTACTAAGTTGTTCTTCAAACTTTAAATATATATAACACCAAGGTGTAAGATTTTTGAAAAATTAGATGGGTAATTATGAAAAGGTAGCATTTCTTTTGTTTAACTTTTCAGAGTGGACATTTGATTTGGGACACCCTAAAAGGAAAAAATGGACTACTAATAAGGGACAGATATGATGTTGTCGAACTTCTTAGAACAGTTCATAATTCACCATCGAATATGTGCATATGTAAATGTGCAATCTTCTCGTCCCAAATACCAAACAATAATCAGAAAAATTATTTGAGAGTGACCTCAAGGATCTCAAACAGTCATCTCCAAAATATTAGACGAAAGTTGTTATCGTTACGGTATTTTCTTAATATTAAACTTCATAGTTTATTATCATCTAAATCCCTCACAGTTTGTACAACCTGATTTTATTCCAAACTCCTGACAGTCTTCACATATACTGCTCTCTACCCACTTACCATCTCTGAAATTGGCAAGTAGACTCATGTGTCCTTGTATAGAAGCGAATATGTGCCTCATGTGGTACACCGTGTCCTGCATTTATTCCCTAATCAAAATTTGTACCAGAGAAACAATTTCATTTTGGAAAATGATAGTAGAAGTTACCATAGGTTTTTAAATCCTACTGGATGTGTCAATCATAGAATTAAACACTTCGAAATGAGAGATTCTATCTTATTGATTATTGTGTAAGAGTCGTTATTGAACACTGTTTATTGGAGTCACCAAAAAACCGATTCAGCCAAATCATGGTCCAGTCTCATATATCTTCCAAAAATTGTTGAAATGTGAACCACTGATGAGGTTCACAAGAGTCATTACAATTATACCCTCACCTCACAGCAGAATGCTACCCACCTAGGAATCAATGCTATATCTCTTCTACTAAACCCGGAATCAATGCTATATCTCTTCTACTAAACCCTTCTTTTTTAAAAATTAAGAAAAGTAACCCTTCTTTTTTAAAAATTAAGAAAAGTGGGCATCTTTCATAGCTACACTTTCACTAAAAGTGTTTTTTAGTTTTCAAATATCTTAATAACCTCTTCCACAAAGGATGATGTCTACTCTCCTTTGATAATTATTTTCAATATCATGTATGCCTTTCTTGCTATCTTGTACCCCACGCCTATTAGTAATCTGATCGGCATTCCAGACTGGATTTTTTTCCCTATCTTTATAAAACCCCCAAACCTTTTTCCTATCTCCCCCAAATACTCCAATTGGAATCCTCAATATGCATTCACTATCTCTTCAATTACACACCTCATGAATCAAATCCTTTTTCCATGTCTTTGTAGATCCTTTTTCCAGGAGATCTGGATTGAAGGCATCGACCTTTTTTTCTCTCTTAAATTAAACCCTCCTCCTATATTACACAACAAAGAGCCCATTGCCTGCCTTTCCTCAATTGTAGTTCTGAAAGTAGACTCATCTAAATTAATTTGAAATCTGAGAGGCATTCCTGACTGGATTTTTTCCCTATCTTTAGAAAACCCCCAAACCTTTTTTCTATCTCCCCCAGATACTCCAATTGGAATCCTCAATATGCATTCACTACCTCATGTAGATCTTGATGCAATTTTGTCCTCTAAAAATTTAATACGATTTCCCTGTTACGAGCAGGAACCCCATATGTTTATCATTTAAACCCTCCTCCTATATTACACAACAAAGAGCCCATTGCCTGCCTTTCCTCAATTGTAGTTCTGTTTTCTACTCAAAAACAAAGTAGACTCGTCTAAATTAATTTGCTCACCTGTAAGCGATACATATTCTGTTAAAATACCTTTGATGGCTTCCGCGTTATTAGCTCTGCAAAATTAATAGTAGTGAGTCGTCTGCAAAGAGAAGGTGAGAGTGAGACACTGAAAGAGTTCAACTAATCTTCACACCAGTAAGAGAGCCATCTATATTTGCAACTTCCATCAGTTTGGATAGATGATCCTCAGCACACAACAGAAATAGGTGAAGGTGAGAGGGGGTGACCTTGCCTCAACCCTCTTGCAGGACTAAAAACACTTCTTGTACATCTATTAATGGAAACACAATAGGGAATAGAGGTAATGCAGGACATCACTAATCTGATCCATTCAAGATCAAAGCCAAGACATCCATCATTTTTGGTAATCGAGATGACTCCACCCTTTCACAGGCCTTAACCATAATCCAATTTTAGGGAGGTTTAAATCCCATGTTTGAATTGCCTATATAAAGATAAAAAATTCAAGACACTCTTAACTAAAATTTAAACCACAAGGTTACGGCAATTCATTGAAAGTGCAGCAAATTGGCAGGCATGGAGAAATAAGGTGTGGAGCACCTTGAACAGTGACGTTAATAATTGTGTGAGGCATCATAAACATTAACTACAAAAGACAGATAATTTATACAGTCGGAGAATCAAGAATGGTCACAAGTAGTGATATTGGCTCTGAACCAAAAGTCACTGAAGCCGAACTACCGGTTAGGCCTTATTAGATCGAGTACAAAAAATACTTGAGTCATCTGGGAATCTTTTCTTTTCAAACACACTCAACTGGGAAGACGCACATTTCAATAAAATCTCTTGCTATGAGGAAGCAAAAGGTTAAGGTGTGTACAATCATTCTGTTTACAGTAATAGTGGGCTTCCTAATTGTTTTTGGTTGTATTTCGGATGCTTTTTGTGTTCGGTACACTAAACTTGACCCATTTTAAAAAATTGTCGTCGCCAAAAATCTTGAAGATGGAACTTCTTCAAATTAGTCCAGTGACAGATAGAATGGATTGCTACTTCTCTCCACATAATCCAAATGCTGATATTTGAGTTAACAGATTGATTGCATGCTTCTTTTGTCTGACAATATCTGAGACGTGTCCTCACGCATGCTCACAAACATGTAAAAGGAATGGATATGTAAATGCATGGTTGTACGTACGCTATGATTCAATAATGGCCAGTTAAATCTCATTCAACCTCTTTCTCAGGTCCAGAGTACATGGTACAGCAAGCTGAAGCCAAGATCAGTAAACATCCAATGAGTCTTCCAAAAGACGGCGCTATTCTCAATGAAACCATCCCCCACAATTGTGACAGGACAGCCTGAAACACAGACCAGGGATAAAATATAATTAACAGGAGATAATAGCCCAAAGAATGTGGTTTTATAGTCACTAGCAGCCATACAACAGAAGAACCAAATGTGTGGAAATTTAGTTTGTTCAATCTAAAATAAGATAAACCCACCATAACATAGTTGAAAGATGTAGATAAAAGATAAAAAAATAGAAAAGGGAACGCTCCACTTTATAACAAATCATGGATACTCCTTTTTTTTATTTACTTCTAACCAAATCATGGATACTCCTTTTGTGTCTTCTTTACGTTGGCAATTATTGTGTCAAACCCTTGTTAAGTTGTTATGTGACGTCCCACATCGCCCGGGGGGGAGGGGGGAAGTTCATGGCATTTATATGTGTGGACACTCCTTAAAAATGTAGACATGTTTTGAGCAAAACTGTGAGCACAAAATGTGCAACACAGACAGTATCCACATGGGGTGGGGTGGGACGGGTTGTGACAGATGGTATCAGAGCCAATCCCCAGACGAAAATGTGGGGGCATGCACAAGCCCATGCGGGTCAAGCCAGCGAGGATGCTGGGTCCCTAAGGGATTGATTGTTATATCCCACGTTGCAAAACTATGAGCATTGAGAGGAGAGTGGGCGAGCTACAGGTCGCACAATCCCACGTCGCCTGGGTAAGGTGAAGGTTAAGTTCTTATATGTGCTAGTGCTATCTCAAAATGATACAAGGTCTTTTCATATTAAACACAAGAACAAAACCGTTCGGGCTAAGGCCCCAAAGTGGACAATATCATCATTCGTACCATGTGGTAGAGTGGGTTGTTACATGTTAATTCATTATTTTAGTCAAAGTACTATTCGAGTGTGCATATCAAAGTTCAAGTTATGATTCATAGGTATACGGATTCAGACACACATAAGGACAGGTAAGTGAGAGATAAAGTACACTCAAAATGTTTACAAGAAAGTGTTTTATTTGTTTTTAAACTCAAAATGTTTTTGAAAAAGTGGATGTAGCCCACTAGAGCAGTAAGCACCACTACACAGAGCATTTGTACTCAATGAGCTGGGGAGTTGAACACTGGTATACAAGACAAATGCACCGATACTCAACTCTTAAAGGTTGAGGACCAGTACTCATCTTCTGAACACCAGTCCTGTGTGCCGGTGATGTAAATCTTGTGTTTCTGCTTTTCAAAACATATCCCAAAAGGTTTTCTATTTAGCTTTGAATTAGTGTTGATGGATTAAACTTCTTAAAAGGGTCAGGAACATATATAATCACTTGTCAGGGTTTTCAATTACATACACATGCCATCATACGAAATATAGCAAGTTTTGTGGGCGTAACGGCTTTCTTTTAAGTTTTTTGGCGACATAATTCCCAATGACACTTGTTTTCTGAGAAGCATTTTGTTTTTTGTTGATTTCATACACACACTAAAGAATTTTCGACCTGTGGTTTCCGTTCATTTGTGATACAGGGACACTTATTGGTCAATCTATGAACAGTCAGCATTCAGCAGTAGTCTTTCATTGTTCTTCACGTATGTTTGTATGGAGGTCTGGATTTCGATCACTGTGAAGGAAGGCATATTATGAGGAGTGATTGCATTAATGGATAGGAGCCTCTGAAATCGGGAGATCAGGCATAAGTTTGAGGTGCATAGGAACTGGACTCATTGGTGACAACTGGCAATTAGAACAAGGAGAGAGACTGCAGCATTGGCAACAAATTTGTCTATTACTGTGACAAGTACAAATCTGTACTGACTTCTAAATTCATAGTGTATTTGGTTAGCCTGAGATGGCAAAACTCCATAATTCTTCCCTGTTTATGATCTTTAACGCAACATATCGTCATTTTAAATAGATTGGCGGATAAAAATATTTGTCCTTTAGCATTTTTGTTTTCAAATCAGATACATAAATTAACATTTGCAATCAGCAAAAGTTGCAGACGAGACCTATTCATTTCCTCTAGGTTTGTTCTATACATGTGAATCCTTTGGACTCTGTAAGCAACTCCCATTTAGGTCAAATTGCTTCACTGTTTGTGCATATTTTCTTATTGCCTCTCATCTACGTTTGACACAGCCCCTCACCAGACTCTCTTTGGGTTTCCCAAATATTTTCCACCTGTTCTCCTTTATCAATTTTTCTTTTTATTTATTTATTTTATTTTATTGGGTCCATTCCAACTACTATCTCCCATTTCCAAATCCTAAAACTGGAAATAAGGGGAACCTTAGGTTAAAAGATACTGGTTACAGCGTAAGTAGTTCAACTGATTTATTTTCTAACAAGTGGAACAATAGTTTATGAAAATTTACAAGATTACCACTGCCACAAGAAAAGCAGTGCAAGCAATATGCATACCTCAATGTACAGGATATTTGCAACTTTGCTGGTTTTCTCAAGCTGAAGTCCACGTGCCAAAAGGACCTGCAAAGCTACAAAGCGCTCATATTATGCAGGACCATTTCATAGAAAACATAAGCAATCTATGCTTTCGTGCAATGTTCATTCATCAAATTGTAGAAACTGAAAAGCATGCAAAAGAGAGGAAGAAAATAAGTAGTTCCACATAGCACCTCCGCAAAGAAGGCCAATACACCAAGCACAACCATAAAAAGGAAGGAATGAAGACCAGGTAGCACAAATTCCTGCATAAGAGAAGCAAAAATTATCTGAGATCGTAACACTTGTTAATATCTATAAACATAAAACCAATGTGCAGAGCTGATAAATAATCTTGATTATCAAACTGTATGTTCGGTGGGCATAAGTTTGTTGAGCACATTGAGAATAGCTTCAGTGATCCGCATATAGATTTTAAGCTCGGATTGACAAGCGTGAAGTCGAAGGTTTGAGTAAAAATAGGCACATTGTGCCAAATAATGCCAAATGTTACTTCCCCTTCCAGCAACCCGCATGGATGGGCTATACACTGGGTACCAGACGTTAATTCCCAGAAGCATGACATATTTTTGGTTTCTCTTTCTGAGAGTTGCACTTACTACAAAGGAAGTTGTATATTAAATTTCTAAGTCATATTTACAGTTTTGAAATAAAGCCAATGTTACCTAACAAAAAAAAGAAATAAACCCAATGTTAAATGGACTTTGGTGTGTGCATTTGGTGGGGTCGTATCTCAATGTCATATTCACATATTTCCATATCTCATCACTGTATTATTCAGAGACTAAGTTCACATCTATCAAAATTGCAATCCGGAATGACAGGATCATAAGATCTAACGATCCAAAACTGTCAAATCGGTCCAAATCGCAGAGATAAATGCATGTTACTATTGTAGTGGGATAGCCATAGGACCGTAGGATCTCAACAGAATCATAGTGGGATCACTACAAGGTAAAATAAAGTATACATAAGCATAGAGCTTTCTACTAGTGGAAAGATATCAATATTGACAGTTATATTAGGGTTCTGAAATGCTGAGAAATTGATGGAGGTATGGGTATTCAGTGGTTGAATATCAACTTTATTTTGTAGAAAATGATGAAAAGGGATAGAAAAATGTGAAGATAATCAGTGAAGCTTAGGGGAAAAGTGGAATGAAGCATGATAAAATAATTGTCATAATATTACACATTCGTTAATCAAAATCACCGAATTAGAGATATGTTTATCAAAATCCTCATGAAATTTATAGGCAAAAAGGCATTGTATATCCTCATGTTGAAGTGACACCTGTACAATTTAGATAGGATGTTTAGACAACCCAAGAGTATCTATATATGTATACATTCTATTTTTTTCGGGTAAGCAAGAACTGACTAATGAACTCAAGTCATCTTCACTTTTTTCATTTGAACCTTTTAACAGTATGTAAATATATAATCTTTTTGTAGCACTTAATAATATCTTAATTGGCCATTTAGAGTCACCGAGTACACGTAAAAAGAAATGAGTGCACAATTTAGAGGGAAAGGAAAGCATCATCTGAAATTTCCAGCAAATCTGTAAAGAAATGATTGGTACTTGGTCATTCAATAAATCAATTTTATACCATTTCAACTTTACTAAAAGATAAGTTGAACCTTTCATAACTTTTTTATTTCAGCCCAAGCACTTTTTACTCCACGCTCACGTCACATTCTTAAACAATAACCCCTGAATGAAGAACAGGTTATCCATGTGTAATAACTTTACTTTTAGCAGAGTTAATATAATTTTCAAATGTTCCAAATTATACAAAATGTAAGATCATACACCATTGTACAATAACGACAAAATCTTGTGAGATGGCAAAAACACCAGCTCCCCAGTGTGAGGATGCGGGTTTGAATCTTGAGAGTAACTTTGTGCAAAATAATACCAAAACATAGGACTACCTCTAGTCTTGCCCTCCCACCACCCTGCGTAGGTAGTACATACATTGTGTAGTGCCTTTTATGCCCTTATAGGTATTATATTACTCGAGTATCGTTTATAGTGTTTTCCATTAGAAGTTAGTAAGGAATATTGTAGTTTTTGAAGCATCGATGTCATATGAAAAATTCAAACATGTAGCACGACATACTAGTAAGATGGCTTATTGCGCGAGACAATGTTGAACGATAACTCTGGTGTGTTTCACATTGAGCCTAGCTGATAAGCAATTGGTAGAGGCCTCGTCTGTATTGACGAGATTTAACGCCTTTCTCAGAACAATGTCCCCTCAACCATTTCGATACATTCATGAAGGATGAACAAGTTGAGAAAAATAAAGTTTATTGTGAAAACAGAATAAAATTCTCTGTTGGATATGCCAGATGGATAGATGTCCTAAATTTAGCATGTTGGACATGTGTCCTGTGCCCATATCTGTTTCATCTCCACTTGGGTACTTCAGACATTTTAAAGACTCTATGTAACATATATTGCAACAAAATCAAGCTTTGTCCAACACTAGTTTCTGGTTAAATCATATCTATCCCTAATGAAACATAGTCTTATCAACAAAATCTTGAAAATTTATATATATGGAGAACTAATTAATTTACATTATTAAGTTTTAGGATCATCATAAAAGTAAAATACATGCAACTATTTTAAAAATTGAACATGTCAACTACGTCAATTTCAGTTTAGATGTGTATTCCACATCCCATAGAAGATTATATGCACAAGTGGCAATAGGATGTTCAAAGAATAGAATGATGATATTCTAAGTAAACCAGATATTAAAGCCACTATTCAACTTCTTATCTCAGAAATCTCTCCATTAATTTCAACAACGTCAGATGCTCAATTATCAGCAATTAAGGATATAAAGTTATGAAACCAAAAGTGTAGAAATTTGAAATATAAGAATACAATATGAACTTACCTCAAAGGCCAATGTACATATTGCTGCAGCAGGCATAGCAAGAATGCCAAATGAAAAAACTGTGAACCTGAAAGAGAACACAATACTTGCTAAGATAAACACATAAATGTGTTAGGTTTTGCTGTGGCAGCGGAAGCCCTGGGAATTTATGCTAGAGCACACGTATTGCAAAGGGAATTTTGTTGTGGATAAGCTAGCCAGTATAAGCAATGAAAAGCCAAATCCCAAATGGACTGAATATTTTATAAATCCTCCAACTGGAATTTATGTTTTTTGCAATTATGTAATTGGGTCTGTTCCATGTAATTTCTGTTGTGGGCATTAGCAAAAAGAAAAAATATAGTAATAATGTAGATCAAAGAAGAAAGCAAATGATCTTACACAGGTTGTTCAGATGCCTTCGCTCCAGCCCTTATAAGGCAGTAGTTGATTCCACCAGTTATTGCTGAAAATAAAGCAATTAAAATTGCATATATATGATGGCTTCCCTGAACATCGCTTGCTTGCCCAGTTTTAGCTAGATTTCCTGCACAGATCCACAACCAATCATGCAGAACTCTACAGAGAAATCATGCAAAAACCCGCTGTTTTCATTGAAGCAAGAGGGTTTCCAGAAGATATCCGAACATTCCATACATAAGTTACTCAATGCTTATATGAATAGAATTATGTGCTACCAATCTTAAAATATCTGTTTCCAACGTAAAATCTATAGGGTTTCATTAACTCACTTCTGTACCTTGCATTGTAAGTTTTGGCCGGAAAATGAAAAGTACACCAAAGAAACTGAAAGCAAGACCTGAAACACAGTCAAAGAAATGACTCTCTTGCAGCAAAAAGGTAAATACAGAATGCTGAAAGAAAAGCACCATAAAATTTTGCACTTCTATAAGCAAAATAAGAGGGCATAGATGCATTAGCTTCCCATGTTTAAAAATAAATTTAAGTGTACCATGGGAGCATGAAATCATGACGAGAGCGCCCTCATGATAGCTTTTTCCAAAAGAAATGTCAGTATGTTATACACACATGGGGGGAGGGGGGGGGGGGGGGGGGGGGGAGAGAGAGAGAGAGAGAGAGATTAAAATGACTACAAGAAACTGCAAAAACAACCAAGAATGGAGAATGGAAAAAAATTGCAAAGAAGTAACAAAAGTGTCATTAATTCTCTATAAGGCAGAATTATATTTTATGGAGAATAAGTTATAATATACAAGGAAAGGATTAGTGGGAAGGAGCATCTAACATGCTGCATAAATGCTAAATTCATATTTTATTGCATACTGATTCCATTAAGCACAGACCAAGGGAGCCAAGCCCCAACATTAATGGGGAATTTGATCCCCAGTTCCTAACCAGCTTGGAATTCTACATAGGGAAGTCTCACAACAACTATCTCATCACTTGTGAGTCAATATATCATTATTTTGAGAATTGTAGTGATAATAATTAAGGACCATTAAAACTAAAGTAGAAACTTGGAGGTTGGGCTAGGACCACATATTAATGGAGCTAACAATCAAGTAAATCATTAAGTGTTTAAATTTAAGAAACAAAAGATGAGGTGACTTTAGTATTTATCAGGAATAAAACAGCATGGTGAAGTAGAGATCTGAACTCTCAAATTTGAAGTGGTCAAAATATGGAGTTCAATCCATAATGGAATAGTTTGCCAACTCTCTGATCCAGATCCATGTCACGGGTTTTAAAGACATTTGGGGCTTGACACCTAAACACCTCCAATTTTAATTCTCATACCAGCACCAGGGAGATGCTACCTCCAACGTGCAGAGGACATCATAAAAATAAAATAAAATAAAAATTAACAAAAACTCTCAATTTTTTGTCTTTTGATTTGTAAGTTTAGTACGGTGCAGCTTTGGATTCCTCTCTATTTTTGGTCTTAAGATTTGGAAAAAAATGAGAGGCAAGCTGCAAAAGGAACTTTTAAACTCAGGCGAAAATTGTGGTCATCTCGGGCCTCTCGGCCGGGACTTGGCTGAGACAACAGTTATTTTTTCTCTGGCCGAGATCTTGGCCAGACTTGGACTCGACTTTGGCTGAGTCTGAATCGACTCAGTTGAGTTGGCTGATTTTTGATACATTGCATACAACTATATGCATATGATGTTATTTGCCAATTACAAAAGGTAACCGTAAGATTGGAATAAGCAACAAGATATATTCTAACTATATATTTATCATACCTCCAATTTCGGCAATTTTCAACTTCTCATGCAAAATTACTCTTGCCACAATTGAAGCCATAATTGGAGTTGTAAAGCTCAATATGATAGCTTGAGACAAAGGTAACCTTTGAATGCTGCGGAAAAATAAAGGAACTTTTTATTACCAGTACCGGCAAATCATGTTCAAAATGATAAAACATATAAAACATTGGAAAAGCATCCACCAAATCATGTTCCAAATAGTAAAATTACAAAACCATAGGAAAGGCATTTCAAGCAGTCGACAATGATAAGGTATATCATTTATGCTAAAGGTAAGGTGCTTCCTTGTATCCTGCCTGGTGATACATAAGGGGAAAGATGAGAATAGACCTCAAGGTTGGAACCGGCTGTTTTGGTTCTCTTTCTTTGGCAATTGTTGTCTTGACCAGAGGGTGAGTTTAGAATGAACCGTAAATAGAACAAGCACCAAAAAATAAATACATAAATAAATAAAGAAAGAAAAAGGATAAGCCAAACAGTACAACAGAGCACACCAGAATTAAAATCCTCAAGTGAATCCGAGATTATTGATATTATCTAAAGCACTTTCAACATTGATGTCACCAGAAGCCAACAAAATCACTGCTATCTTTTTTAAATGCTGGCAGAGATTCAGAAATATTATAGATACTATAGGGAATCTATTCAATGTAGTTGCTTGGTATGCTGAGGCACTCAACAGTTCAAGCTATGAACCCCATCTTGCTTAACTAGCAGCCCAGATACAAAAACTGAACTCTAAGGTGGTGCGACCAAAATATTAACCCACGCCTTTCATTTGATGTGCCTTGTGGAGAAAAGTAGTATCACCAAGGGCACCACAAAGATCACATTATCCTCACTGAACATCGTATTTACCAATAAGAGTGCCAGAAAAAAACATTGCAGGAAAATGATAATACAATGATAACACGCAGAATGAACCTTTTTAGATGGCTTAAGTTGTCAGGTGAAAATAACTCCACTCAGAAGTTCAGAAAGAACCTGAAGTGGCAACATCTTTCAAGAGGCACTGAAAAAAACTGAGCTCACTATTTCTCCTCTTTCCAAATTCACAAACAAAGTGATCAATCCCTTTTCAAATTATGTCAGAAGCTCAAGTTAGTAAGAGCTGTTCTTAGAACTTTGAATTTCAAAAAACGAAAGGATGTTTCTGTTGAGCTTAATAAGGCTAGCAAGGAGATCCATCATATCCAAGCCCTTAAAGATGAAAATAATCCTGACAGTTTACTTGACAGTAGAGAGAATTATGCAAGTGTAGAAGAGACTCTACATGCAAAAGATAAGAATTCAGTGGCTAAGGAGTGAGACCAGAAAAGTACTCTCTCTACCAAAACCATCAACTCCAGAAGGAACAGGAAGAGGTTTCCCAGTATATGTACCGATAAGGGAACTATAATAGAGGACAGCAAGCAAATAAAGCAGACTATTGTTGATTACTTCAAGGACCTTCGGGTAAACCTTGTCCAATTCCCTATCCAGGTAAAGAGGCTCTCTTTATGTATATTAATAAGCATCTTAATCATGTTCAAGCTTGGCCCTCGTAGCTCAAATCTGCTTCTAAAATCAAGTAAATCAATTTTGGCTTTGATCCTAATAAAGCTCCTGGAGTAATCAAGGACCTACAGGGTAAGCCTTGTCCAATTCCCTATCCAGGTAAAGAGGCTCTCTTTATGAATATTGATAAGCACCTTAATCATGTTCAAGCTTTGGCCCTTGTAGCTCCAGTCTCTGCTTCTAAAATCAAGTAAATCAATTTTGTTCTAGTGAATTTTTCTTGAGATCTTTATGGAAATCATTGGTTCAGAGTTTACTCTTGTCATTCGATCTTTCCTCCACACTGGTCCCTTGTTAAAAGAGCTTAATTGCAATCCAATTTCCCTTGTTCGTAAACTCGAAAGCCCTCTTTCCTTAGGATTACATAAATATCTCCTGATGTAATTTCATTTAAAAAGTGCAACTCAAAGATTATAGCTTCTCGAATTAAAAATGTTATTTCTTCTCTCATTTCTGATTCCCAATCTGCTTTCCTCCAATTTAGAAAAATAGTGATGATATATAGCCAGCCCAAGAACTAATGAAGAACTATCATAGTAATTTAGGGACTCATAGATGTGCCTTCAAAGTGGACAAGCCTTTGAGACTATTAAATGGGAATTTCTTCTTGATCTCTTGGATCTTCTTGGCTTTCCTTCTCTCCTCATCAAATGGATTAAGGCTTGAATAACAACCCCCAGATTTCAGTTTCTATTAATGGTGGTTTGGAAGGCTTCTTTTATGGGGCTAGAGGATTTAGTCAAAGGGGATCCTCGATTTCTAGCTCCATTCTCTGACTCGGAAAGTTTATTTCCTCAAACCTCCAATTTAGATTTCTCTGGAGAAGCCAAAAAAACCCTCCTATTTTGTCATGGCAATCCATTCTCCACTTCAATCCTCAACCAAGACCTAAAATACTTCTCTAGCTTCTCTGGCCTGGTTCCTAATTCTTTTAAAAACTGGATTTTCTTCTCTACTGTTTCTGAGGTGAGTCTCACTCTATCCTTTCCTCCTTTGCCTTCTTTCAGGATTGCAAACGCCTTCTAGTAGAATCGCTAACATAATTAACTCCTGGATCAACAATTACCTGTTTTTTGCTGCAGACTCCAACTTTTTATTCAGTCTATCCTTTTCTCTATTCGGATGGATTGGTCCTCTCATTTATTATGCCTAAGAAAGTCCTCTCCACAAACTTCTTATGGTCTGGCCCTGAGCTTTAAGCTTGTAGATCTAAAGTTGCTTGGGTTGACATAGTGCTTTCTAAAATAGGACGGGGGCCTTGCATCAAATCCTTGTCTAAATGGAACAAGCCATTGTGGCTAGACACATATGGACTCTCAATCTTCCCCATTCTCCTTCAATCTGGGCTTATTGGGTAAAATTAATTTGCTTAAAGATTAGAGCTTATAGGTTAGCAAGCTAACTCATAATTGTTCCTGGTCCTTGAGGGCTTTTCTACGGCTTAGCAAAATTTTCAAGTCTTGCATCATACATTCAATTGGTGAGGGCAGTCTAAAACCCTTACGCTTTGATTTCTGCCTTCCCTCGGGGCCTTTTCAGCGGCAATATGGTGATAGAATCCTTTATGATTCAGGGCTGCTGAGATCAGCAACTGTTAGCAATATTATTGGAGTCAACCAATGGTACTAGCATGGTAGTGATATTAGATCATTCTTGATGTCAATTCTCATCAACAACTTACCTCCTCATCCCCTTCTATGCTCCAGTCATGACTCAATTCTCCGTGTTCCTTCTCCTACAGATTCACTGCTAGATCAGCTTGCCAGTTTCTCAACACCCCTGCTCCAAAGGTGACTTGGTATAATGAACTGTTTTCCTAATGTTGTTCCCAGATTCAGTTTTATCTGTAGTTGGCTATCAGGAACAAGATCCCTACTCTGGACAGACTTCTCAAGATTGGTTCCATCTCTTCAATCAGTTGTGCTTTTTGCAGATCTCACATTGAAGATCATGATCACTTGGTTATTAGTGTCCTGCCCCTCTAGAATATGGACTCAATCCCATTCCTACCTCCAAACCTTGCATTTCTCAGGCTGCAGATGCTCTTCATAACAATTCCCTGCACAATCTTGTTTTATAATTGCTTTATACTCCATAGTCTACCATCTAATGGAGAAAAAGGAACCAAAGACCTTTTGAAATATAGATCCTTCTTCCATCATAAGTTGAGTCATCTAGCAGGCCGTTCAGAGTTGCTTCCATTCACAAGCTGCCAAAGACCAACACTGCAAAGACACATTCTTAGATTTTTGGAATTTGCCTATCAGCCAAGATCTCTGTTTTTGTAAATATAGTTTGAGTTGTTTTTGGACTCTGTTTCTTTCTCCTTGTAAGTTCCGCAGGGCTATTGATGGAGATCATGATGCATTTCGCATTTATGCTGGTGTAGGCATAAACATGTTTTATTATGGTTATTTTGTAAATTTTAATTTTACAATTTTTTATTTATTTGGTATTTTGTTTTCTTTAGTTTAAGGTTTTTTATTTAGCGTTTGCCTATACAAAGCCGTATGTAACAGAACTAACCACTTTTTATTTAGGATTCCAGTTTCTCGCTTATAGAATATACTTTGTAAGACAAAACATGTACTTCCATACAAATATTTTCGCATAACAATAGGTAAAAAGAGTGCTCCTGACCAAATAAAAGCTTTTTCAGGCAATATGGGAGAAAATGCACTGTTACTATCGACAATAGGCATCAGAAGTATAACTTACCAATAAACAAAACTCAACAATGAGAGACATCCCATAAGAGCTCTTAAAACCAAAAGAATCTTGATATTTGCTGGCACAACTATTGGTTCTCCACTCCTTCTTAACCACATAAACGACAATATCAAAATAACTGCACATCTTGTAGATGCAACCTCAAAAAGAGGGACTGGTTGAGCTGTCATTAAAAGAATAAGAAAAATAAAAATTAGTAGGAAAAAGCCAATGTAACCTCTTAAGAAATTCAAAATGGGAGGGCAGGAAATACATTCAGGTATGAGTATATATTGACACATTTGATCTGAAGAAAATCTATACACAATATTCTAAGCATGGAGAGTTTATTCTCTCTCATTGATGTGGTATACAAAAATTCTGGGAAAAATACAACTTCGCCAATTTGTGCCCATTCATTCCTAGCACTACAGGAGATCTATTGTCCAGTTAAAAATCCAACACTACGACTCAATTAGTCTTATTAGACGGAGTCTCTGAGAACATTTTGTTGTGCCCTCATGTCCTTAGGTTTGCAGACTTGATGAAATCCGACCCTTAAACACGTACCTTCACCCAACAGATATACCTAAGTCCATGTAATGTAGGGCATTAACAGCTTTTCTTTATGCAGTTAATCTTAAAATCCCAAATGCAACAGTTCTACATAACTAGACTGGAACTAGTATTTATATAAACATATATCTTCAAGAGAAGGCAAAAGATAAAGCGCAAGATGGACATATTTATTACAAAATTCTTTACATTATGAGATGCTTGAAAACGAAGTACAACATATCAAGAAGCTATTCAGTATTCGTAATTATTTTTAGTTCTCTATCTTGCTCCCGGCAGTTTCTCATTCAAGTTTTAATAGTTGGAACCTTGCACCACATGCTTGTGGATTGAGTTTGGTTTCAAGGCATGTAGCGGTTAAAGAACCTATATGACAGCCTCCCATGTCCTAAAGCTAAGACACATCCCCATAATAAATCGTTTACAGTAAGGTAGCTCCTTCCATAAATAAAATAAAGAAAATACTAACCAGAGAAGGTATCTGAAAGGACTTCCATAATACAGTATATAGTAGATGACAAGGCCATGCATAGTAGACCAGAGTACCTAGATCCACTCCATGCCCACAAAATAAACTTTGTAAATGGTGATGTCTCTGTTTCAGCAGATACTAAAACTTGCTCCTGCAAATAGAAAACAGCATGACCAAATTAGTTTGTCAGGTTTTGTCTCAAGCTTCATAACCAATTTAGTTTCTCAACTATTGTCTCAGACTTCATAATCAAAATAGTTTCTCAAGTTTTGTTTCAGATTTCGACACAAGCATAGAAAAATCAAAAAGGCATCAGATTAAGGTACAATTATCAGATGGTACGCTATAAGTTTGAAAGATCAAAACTTGTGAATTTTGTACTGACATGGGTTACTGTAATTAAAGCTTCAGATGGTAAGCACCTCATTCAATCACTAATCTAAATCCTGAACCTCCTCTCCGAGCCAACTGATACATTTATTTGCCACATATTTGAAACAAAACTAACCAGAACACATAAATCAGTAATGGCATAGAAATTTATAAACATATTCGAACAAACCAAGCACGTGCTGCCCAAGGCACTCGCACTGTGCAAATATTGTTTGTATTGCAACTCCTTAGCGTTCACGATTTTAAACGTGTCTACACATTATATTGAAGATGCAACATTAAGAGTGGGCAGAATATTGTGAGGATGCAACCGCTATTTATAGGAAAAGATGCATATGAGAAAAGAGCCACCCCCAAAGTGCTACAACATGTCATGGAGTGAGCAGCCCAATGGGATGTTGCCAACGGAACACTGTTACATCGCCAGAAATAATTCTTTCGGAAGTTGAATGGTATCTCTTTCTTTAAGACAGGCCTAAGTGTATATCACAAAGATGAACATCTTGGTTACACTATTTTGAACAGAGCCACCCAAGTAGACCATCACACAACCCACCAAATTCACTCAAGGGTTCGGGAGCTTCTTGAGTCCTACTCTCGACCAGACAGGCATAAAATGCATTAAGGTGCAATATATGTAGGGCATCATAACTATGCAGATAGCAAGATCAAAGAATGTCCAGGAGGGCCAACCACATTCCGTGAGAAGGGCTCCTTGGCCTACTTCTAAAGCATGCACTGACAGTGGAACCAACATGTTTGAAAATTCAAGGAAACCAACATGCATGTATCATCTGAAAACTGTAGAATCGTTTACTTGGGGGAGGTTCACATGATACAACAAAATATATGTATAAACACAAGCATCTAATAGCATAAATAAATCAAATAAATAGAAGATGGATGATCAACAAACAGAATAACAGAAAATTCTGATTCGCAAAAATAATTATAAATCAAAAGAAAGTAAAATTGAGGGTTTTTTTTGTTTATCATACCCGGTTAGGTTTCTTTCTGGGGTAGGAGATTGAGAAGATGTTGATCTTGGGCTTCTCTGATTGCGTCAACAGAGGAATTATCTGATCGTCTGAAGTTGAATCATCAGACTCGGCCGTTGAAACAACCAATTCCACCACATCTTCATCCGACAGGTGTTCTCGGACTCCACCATCTATCGACTCTGCGGAAGCCATTTCCTTTCACATGTGAAACCCTTAATCCATGGACTACAAATTCTTGAATAGAACAGAGAACATTGACATGATATTCAACGACAGAGGACAAGAACTTGATTATTATCTCTTTTTTGGATTATTTTAATTCGCTGAAAACAAGACGTCTAAACAAATCAAACGAAGCGGATGTGCACGCCGCAACAACTAGGATTAGGAGTAGTAATTTTGGCATTTAACAGATGCTTGAGCAAAGCATTACCCTAGATCTTAAGATCTTAAGTCGTAACCCTCCCGTTTACTAGCGGACTCACTTCTTGGTGGTCCTCCTATTAACTAGACAGTAAACACTGATTAACAGTCATTATGTCACACCAAAAAAAAAAAAAAAAACCGTAACTGAAACATTTTCCTTTTCTGTTGTCAAGCTCTTCAAAAGGCAAAATAAAAAATAAAAAAATTATATTTAATAATACGATTTTGTTTTGTTATAACTGAAAACATTTTTTGGTTTTTTATTTTTGTGAAAAAAGAAAAAAACATTAAAAAAAATGTTTATCAATGTGTAAAAATGCACTATTGTTTGTTTTTATTTTTTTTTATTTTTTTTGCTGAAAACTCACTTGGGCGGACTCCTTCGGGACCCACCCCAGGTTACAAACTTGGATGTTGTCGACGGTCCTACACTTCAATAATAATTTCAGTCGAGAGTTATAATGGCTATGATGTTTTTACTATTGTTATTAACATATACATTACTCATTTCAAGTAAAGCATATATTATTCATGTTATATACTAATGCTACATATTAAATACTAAAAACTGCTCATTTAAAATAAAGCATATGTTATTCATGTTATATAATATGGTACATATTAAATACTAATAAAAGTTATATTTTTAATATATAATTATATTATATTAAATATACGTTACTAATAGCTAGGATGGTAACTGATACGGTTTGCCTAAAAATGTCCATTTTAACTAATGAATATTTAAAATTGATTAATTTCTCAAAGTTATACCGGTCTCTTTGGAAGATAAAGTAAATCTGTATAACGCTGCCCCATTTAAGTTTTTTTATTATTATTTTTTATCCTATGGGCAAATTTGATATTTTTTTCTTCTGTACTCCATTGTAGCCCAAATTAGGTTCAATAGGATATTCCAGAGTCGAACATCCCATTTTCAGGATCAAAAAGATGATCCCTGCCAAATGGGTTGGGCTCAAAAGTTGGACTTATTGCCAAAATGGATTAAGCATTTAAGCACCTTTGTAGGCTTGTAGCTCTATTTAATTCAAAAGTTTGAGAATAGTTTTTTTAATTCTTTAATAATTAAATATCAAAAAAGGTACAAAAACCTGTTCGCTTAATTGTTTGTGAAAACTTAATTAAAAAAAATATAAATATATATTGTAAAATATTTATTTTTTATAGTTCTCTTATAATAATTTTTTATTTTCCAAAGTATTGAGAATTATTGTTAGAAAACTAAACAAGCAAGTTCTAAATTTCTCGCATTTGAGACCAATATTTTTATTATTTCAATGTACAAGGCCATATGTGAGTTAAACCTTAAAACAACTCGTAGCAACTCTATATGTGTGTGTGTGGACACCCAAAATGGGCATTTGGTCTAGATAACTTGTTGTGCGAAATCACCTACTTTTGTCCTAACAAAAAACAACTGTACTAAACAAAGTGACTCAATAAAGCAGCACTCGAATATTTGTAACCGGATAACCATTCCCAACTCTAATTAAGCTATAGATCAATCTAGGAGGTCACATTCGTGCCAATCCAAGAATGACGCCTCACGTCGACAATAGCCTTTATCATAAGATCATTTCAACCTTTCATGTGGCGCACATCCAATCGATGGCCCAAGAATCTCAAACAATATAAATAGAGATCAAGGTCCTGTTCCAATACATTTGCTTTTCATACATATATCTGGCCTTGTGCCATATAGATTCAGCTTTACATTACTGTATAACTTAGCTCCTCACTTCAATAAATCTACATGCTTTCCTAGTAGCTTATAAACCAAGTTTACATTGTTTTGTCTTTACTTGTTGTCATTGTGTAGTTTATAGTTTTTTACTTTACATTTCAAGGGTATAACACGTAATCAATGATTCAACTGCCTCTTCAGATAGTAATCAGATCCTTCTGCAAAATACCATCCAAGAACTTCTAATTGATGTTCATTGTTCTTCCCCAAGTTAATAAAAAGAAGGTTACATCTTTCTTAAAAATTACATTGTTGTTCACTAGTGATTCTGGTATCCCTTTATTATGACCAAAGTGATGCAAATCTAAGAAAGGGTCATTCCTGCTCGCCTCAATCACGAACATCGTATTCAATACGGTTGCGCACACACTCGCTACCATGAAGACGACCACACCAACAAGAATATTTGCTGGACTTTCCCTGGCCACAAATAGATCCTCGCATGCCCCCCAGATTCTGAGAAAGTACTAGTGTATCCCTATATGACACTTGGATTCAAACAATATGAAAGGTTTTTAATTAATTATAAAGTCATGGGTATACCAGCTACACAATTTGCAAGCCTAATTAGAATTGAATGAATATAGTCATGGTGAAAAAAAATTACATAAAAAGGCTTTATGTATCTGAATTCTGATTTGTCTACTCAAGAGTCGAGACTGTAACAGGGGTCATGGGTGCTCATAGTAGCTGCACTAATTAGTTGAATGGCTAACCACAATGAGTGGTGGTGGTGGTGCATCGATTGGGAGTATGATCCGTTATATCGGCAATTGATATTGCGACTGCGAATTATGATTGGGAGTAAAAACAAGATTGAATTAATGGCCTCAAACCACACCTTATTGAAGTGATAAGCTGTTGGGGTCTACCCTTCTGTTTTGTATCATGCAATTCTTGAGGAACAGATTTATGACCCATAATTACGAGACAAGTATGGAGTGCATTCATGAAGTTAGAGTTTCATCGTTCATACACTTTTCAATTAAATGCAGATGGTATACCTACCATCAATAATACATTTTTTTTGTTCGAAAGGTTACCATCAATAATACATTTGGTATACCAATATGTATTAATTCCTCAAACATTACTATTTCCTCGTGTAAGCCAACCAGTAAACTAGCTTCAAGCCTTCAACATTTTGAAGAACATTTCCTTTTCCATTAATTCTGCAGATTTGATTAACTATATGTGATATATATTTAGGAAATCAAAAGATTTGTACTAAAATCAGTGTTTTGGCTTATTGATAATAAACCAAGGTACTTAACAAAAAATAATAATAAATCAGGTAAGTAGTAGAGGGGATGTGAGTGTTCAAATCGGTCCCCTTATTGTAGTTTTATTTGAGAAGAGTTTCATCAAGTGTTTGGTGGTAATGAGAGGGTATTATAAGAAAAGAAAAATATATGCTGGTATTATTATATTTTGAAGTGTTCAATAACATTATATTTTGAATAATTAAGAGGGAAAAGAAAAGATAATATTAACCTCTCGTTATGTTAAAAAATATAAATATATGTATAATTATATATATATATATATATATATATATATATATATATTATCTCGAATATGTGCAATCATCTTCAAACAACGCATATATTTTAAATATTTTAAATTCAAAGTTTTTAGCTCGCCCCTTGTGACCCTTTAACCATTAGACCAACCGTTAATTCTCCCTATAAAAAGTCTATTACGAGTATCAACTTAGACTCCAAGTTAGAAAAATGTTTGAAGTAAATGTGAATGGGTATTACCTAATATCATGTTGGATTTGGTAAAAATTCCCATGAATGCCAATATTAATTCCATCCACATTATTTTGGTACACCAGCTTTGCTCCAACACTGTAGGAACTAGGAAGTGGTCTTTTCATTTTTGGTGGGTGATTTTGAAATGCCTGAGAAATTAAATACGGATGGGATTATTAGTCGTGGAAATCTTTTCTCGAGTGCTCGGACGTCCATTTCCTCCAATGTTAGGACAGTCAACAATTCAATGCATGGTTCATACATTTTAGGTAGCGTTTGAGAGGGCTTCATAATACCGAAAGTCCTTTTAGTACGAAGGTCTTTCCATGAATTATTAGAGAGGAGGACCTTAAAACAATTTTTACTTCATCCTAATCAGACTCTCAAAGAGTCATTCACGTTAGTACTATTACAAGTTAAACACGTTTAATTTTGGAATTCTGATAAATTAATGGACATCACGGTTTTAAAATACGTTATGTCATAGAATGGTGTTGAATCAACATAGAGCACTTCCTCCTCCACACCTAGACGATGTGGGATTGTGCACATATAATTCCGCCAGTGTGGTAGTCTCCTAGTACCATATGCACATACACACACTTGCCCACAAGATCACCACAAATTATGTATAAAGAACTCACCAAATATTACTGACTTGAAATAAGAATTCAACTATGTATAGATATTAGTGGAAATATCTCTAAATTACAGGCGGTATATGACATTATTTTTTGCTGAATGGTATAATCGATTTGAAATAATTGTAAAGTAATGACCAAGATCAAATCACCGACTACTGAAAAGACGAAAAAAAACAGTGTTTTTTCAATTTATTTGAGTAGGGATTCAAAGTTGATTCAAATTTCTTTCTCTTCTTCCTTTTATTTATTTATTTATTTTTTTAATGCAACCCAAAATGAACAAAACCAAACAGTTGTAGCTCAGAATATACCCAAGAAGAATTTTATATTGGCAGAATCCCTAGACCTAACTACATATCTAGAATTTGGTCCCATAAATATATACGTATGCTTCCCAGAACTTATAGGTTGATACTAACCATTAAATTCACCGAAAACATAGCTGGACTGAATATAAATGTTGATAGTATCATCGATTAACTAACTAAATTCTAGTCCAGCATAGACAGTGATAGTGGACTCAATATCAATATGTTATATGTGTACTCTTCTAGCTAAGTGTGTACTCTTATAAGTTAGGTTAAGGCATTGTTGTTGGTTCACACGATTTAGTGAAAATGTCGGCCGGGGAACAAGGCAGGTCCACCGCGAGTCGGTGCTTCTTTTGGAGGGCCACCCACCGCAAAAGGAGGAGTCAAAACTAGCAACAATAAGCACCACCTTTTACATGCCCACTCAGATAAGTCTCACAAATAGTACAAGATGGCGCCAAATTGCTCCAACTATACAAAGATTTCAAATTGATTTATGATAACGAAGCAACCAATAAAATTATTTTAGACAAAAAGCTAACCAGTGTGATCAGAATCTACATTAAGCATACATACATACCATGATTTGTCGTATTAATCGGATCATAACCCTTTTTCAAATGTCTGGTATTAGTATATGTTTTCATGGACGGATCGATTCGATCAGCCAATTTATACCAATATTTACTTGAATCCATTATAATGCGACCATCAACGATACCATGACTGCGAATCATCACACACACACATATATATTGATAGGTAAGATACACTCATATACACACTTTACTAGCCTCGTCAGTCACCCTCCTCTTTATATATATATATTTTACAGTAATAGACAAGGTACACTAATACACACACTTTGCTAGTCTCACCGAGTCACCCTCCTCTTTAATCAGAAAAAGGGAAATATCATTCGAGTCAATTCTTTTCATGGCGTGGATGTAAATGTTAGTGTCGTCAATATTCATATTCATATCCAAAACAAAATAAGATTCTATGTACATGATGCATATCCAACCTATATTATTAAATTAACATAATAACAAAGTAAATATACTTGTTTTAAATCGAAATTTAGTTAAACCCTGATATGTATCATACTCATATTCATATCAGACTTTGAATACAAGAAGTAAACCTAATTTAGGTTAAAGAGATTTTGCCACATTAAAATTTTGTTCCGTAGTACGTGCACAAGCAAATTCAATGCTTTTTTCAAGAAAGAATCGAGCCCAAACCATTATTTCAAAATGGTTAATATGAATTCTAGAGTGAATTTTGAACCGAACACATTTCATTTTACACCCTAAAAAAGGGTACTTACATTATGAACTTTCGATCTAAATAGTTAGATAGAAAAAATTCACCGAATTAGCTTATAACTAAAGAGGTTGTGAGCTCACGTTAGATTGTATAGGCAAAAGAAATTATAAAGAGGTTACACTTCGGTCAATGCAAAATTCATACCTTTTTGAATTTTGTTATTTATAAATTAACGGTGTATGCCTCTAATTATTGAAGAGATAATTTTGTAAATTTAAAAGGAGACAGAGGATTAATTGCTAAATCCTTGATCATTTGGAGTCGGAGAAGACATTTGCATTGGAGCAGAAGGTGAATTTTAATTATGACGCAAAAATAAATAAATTTTTACTACTGTTTTTAGATGCACAAACGCTTACTTTTTAAATTCGTAGCATCATCATTTGGCTTGCCATATATTTATATAATAATGCCCTCACTTTTGACTCACTCGAGGTGATTATTACGATATAATACTGTAATGGTCCACGTACGAAATCTAGATTCATTTGGTTTGTAAACAAGAATAATCATGAGCCAGTTATTTGCTTATCGAAATGGGACCGTTATATTTTTACTAATAAAAATATCTTCATTAAAAAATTTGATGAAATTTTCAATAAAGAAATTAACTAGTGAAGTTCAGCTATTGGAGAATTACACACTTTACAAAATTCTCCTTACATTGCACTTGATTTTTATATAGAAAAGAAATGTCATACCACAAAAGTTTTCAAAAGTTATGATTGGAAGAACCAAATTCTCATCTAAAAAAGATTAATAGAAAAAAAAAATTATATATATATATATCTTTTGCTATACTTTTGATGGTTATGACATAATTATAAATTAGGGTAAATTGCATTAATTTTTATTGAGATATCATCAATATTTGTTGTTGATCGTTAATAAAGGGGAGGTATGTGTTATTTACATACAAATCTCATGTGAGGTAAGTGTAATTTGGCAAACTCGAGAAGTCAGGTATGTTGATGAAATCTTAGAGAAGGGCAGTGTAATGTAAAATATGCATTTATTGTATGTCTTTTTATTTTTTTATCCTTGTAACTAACTTTCACAGTGTACTTGGGGATACTCCAACTCTTAATAATTACTTTCCAGATTGAAAGTTGAAAAAAAACCACTTGGCCACAAACATTGGTATTAAGGGTGACAATGAGACAGATTTGGAGCGGATTTGCCTAAATCCGTATCCGCCTGTTTAATTATAATCAAATCCATACTCACGCTGTACTTGCGACAGGTTTAAAGTTCACAATTCATACGCATCATTAAGAGATGAGTCTTTATATGAACACAATAATGTGCAAACATCTATAACACATATATACATACATTGATTTTTCAAAAGCAGGCAATTATGTTGGTACAAATCAAAATGAAAAAGAAACCATTAGTTTGGGAAGAAAAGAGAGGTAGTAATTTTTTGTTCTGAGATTATTAATTGGGTCAATTAACACAATAATTATTCATTACTAATATTTGTTCTCTTGATATTATTATTTAATATATCTGGAAGTTTCATTAGAACAAAGCTTCTCAATTTTAATTTTTTTAAAAAAAATCATTGATCAAATTAGACGAAGAAATGACATGATTAGTCTCCTCAAATCTTATCATTGGATTGCAATTGTCCTAATCAGCTGCCTAATTGTTGAAGAGAAGTGCTCAAACACATGATACCTGGTATATATGCACAGAGACATCCGTTTGAAATTTAATTCTCTATCAAGTCAGACAATGTAGTGTCCACTTCACACATTTTACGTTGCATCCGTGAAAGCAAGCCAAATTATGATTATAATGAATGAAAAGACTTTGATGATGTCTGATAATTTGTTTTTATATCTAACAATACCAGTGCATAGAAAACTAATTAAATTGGAATATGACATAGTAGATGTCAACTAATTATATGTTCACGAGCGATTAGTTATGGCTTATTTAATTTGGACCTTAATTAATGAATGAATAAACATGAACATCCCACTTGGTCAATTGTTTTTTTCTATTCAGTACTCATGACGTGGTGAGTCAATGTGGTTTCTTGAATTGATACATGGATTTGGATATCATAACCTCTTTAATCTGAACTTTAGTTGGTGCATCATGACTATCTTGGAGACATCATTTACAAATATATATATATATATATATATATAATAAATAAAAAAATCTGTATCTTGCCAACAAAGTAACCAGCCATGCATTAATTAAGATAAATACTTTCCTAAGTATAGATCAAAAAATTCAAAATCATTAGAAAATCAAATGTATTTTATGTTTTGAGAGAAAATTTATTTCGAAAAACTAAACCAAATAGTGTTATAAACATCACATTATATATATTTTTTACTCTTTAATTTTATTTATTTATTTTTTTATTGACGATGATGGTCTCTAGTCTATTTGCACTTCATAATCAGTCCTACATGCAATAATTGAAAATTTTCTTGTAATAATCCCGAAAATTCCTTAATTGAGATATAGGCACACTGAAGCGGTTTAGAACCAAGTAATTAATTACCAATTCTCATATCCTTTAATTCTTTAATCCTAACATTTTTTTACTGTACACTCATTACACCATTGCATTAAGAAAAGTTAAAAAGTTTTCCTCTCTCTCATTCCATTCAACTAACTTCCAATTCAGATTCCTGAAATCACTGAGCAAAGGCCATGCCATTTTCCAAATTTAGAAATGCTGAAGTAATAATCATTAATGAGACCAAAAAGAATAAAATAATAATAACCGTTGCAGAAAAATAAAGCGGAGAGAACAAGTTTTTTTTCCCTCTTGTCACGCGAGTGGCACATGCAATCGACTAATAGTAGAGACTAGAGAGACAAGTTTCATAGAGTGCCTACTGAGAGCTCTCTCTCCCTCTTTTCTTATACCCTTCTCTCCTAAAAATCTCTTTTAGGAGGGAAGGAGTAATGGAGATGAAAAAAAGCCCACATTATGGCACTCTAACAAAAACACTCAGATTAGCACTACAATGGTGTCTTCTTCTCCTCATTTTCACAATCTCCGCCTTGGCTCAAACTCCGAATTACGCCGACGCTCTCTCAAAGAGCCTCCTCTACTTCGAAGCTCAGAGGTCCGGCCGTTTACCCTACAACCAACGGATCACTTGGCGCGACCATTCCGGCCTCACCGACGGCCTCGAACAAGGAGTGAGTAAAAATGGCGAATTCAGTTCACGAGATTTTTGTCATTTTTCATATTTTTTTTTTTTAAAATCAAGAAATGATATGATTTGAATTCTGTTCAGGTGGACTTAGTCGGAGGTTACTACGACGCCGGAGATCACGTGAAGTTTGGGTTGCCAATGGCGTTCACCGTCACAATGTTGTCGTGGAGCGTGATTGAGTACGGCCAACAAATCGCCGGCGCCGGGGAGTTGGAGCACGCACTGGAGGCAATCAAGTGGGGCACTGATTATTTCATCAAAGCCCACACTAGCCCAAATGTGTTGTGGGCAGAGGTACTAATTAAATCATATATATTGAATGTGTTCAGTAAATAATTAATTCAATTGATTAATGTCGCGTACAGGTAGGTGATGGAGACACCGATCACTACTGCTGGCAGAGGCCGGAGGACATGACCACGTCGAGGCAGGCGTACAGGGTGGACGAGAACAATCCCGGGTCGGATCTCGCCGGAGAAACTGCCGCCGCCATGGCCGCGGCGTCGATTGTGTTCAAGAAATCAAACCCGCATTACTCCCACCTGTTGTTGCACCATGCCCAACAGGTGACATATTTAGTACTAATTATGTGGGACAATTAGTACTAAAAATATATATGTGTGTGGTGATTGATTGGTATATGACGATGATGATGATGATGTTGTTTTTTTGGTTGTAGTTATTTGAGTTTGGGGACAAGTACAGAGGAAAATATGATGCGAGCGTGGGAGTGGTGAAGAGCTACTATGCGTCAGTGAGTGGGTACATGGATGAGTTGTTGTGGGGTGCTTTGTGGCTATACAAGGCCACCGACAATATAGAGTATTTCAAATACGTAATTAGCAAGGCACATTGTTTTGGTGGCATTGGTTGGGCAATTACCGAGTTCAGCTGGGACGTTAAGTATGCTGGTGTTCAAATCATTGCTGCAAAGGTAAAGTTGCCTCCTTCCCCCCACCCTCTCTCTCCTCTCTCTTTCTCTCTCTAGTCTTTGGTACTACTACTGTCGGAAAACTCATCTCTTCTTCGAATTTTTGTTCTCTTTCTCTCTCTAAACCTGTCAAATCTGTTTTGAATTTTTTCTTCGCTTTTTCCTTGATTTTCAAAGATGAAATAATAATAATACTATTTAGCTGGGCTACTTTTAACAACACTTTCACTTTATAAAGTGAATTTATGTATAGATGAAGTAAGACCTAATTAAGGTATATATATATATATATATATATGTATGTAACTGTAAGGTTAAAATAAATAAAGTTTATCGCGGGGCACAAAACCATGTGGGGCTGATGCTCTAGGGTGGCATGACTTTTGAATGGTGCTAGACTTTAAAAGTGGTGCCTAATGTCACATAGGTTCGTGTAGGTGTGTGTGGGGATATAAACACAAGTTTTAAGCTCAAGCAATAACCGACAAGCTGATACAATGACTCTCATCATTAACACGTGTGTGAGAGTTCATAATCATCAGATTTGTAGTTGGAAATTCAAAAATTTATGATCATGTAATTTTGGCTCATTATAAATTACCACGCCACCAAATATGTTAATAATCATTCAATTTGTAGTTGAAAATTCAAAAACTTTTGACCATGTAATTTTAGTTCTTTATAAGTTACCACGCAATCAAATATATTAATTTTAATTAAAATTTTTATTTTTGGACAATATGTCGAATCACATTGGTGGAAGTAGGGTTCGATATTTTGCGGTCTGTATGTCCCAGTAGATTGAACCAATTGTGTGGACAGAGATGGAGTATTAGATGAGAGTCGAGACACAAGCTACTTTGTTGGACAAGTTTCACATGGACACATCTCTTGTCTTTATGCCAGTCTCTTCGTGTTTTAAGCCTATACATTTCCAACAAGTGAGCTAGCTGTAACCTTTTTATATATAGCTTAGCCACAAGTCATTCAAATCTACGTTAAAAATAAAAAATAAAAATAAAATAAAATTCATATCTACTACAATATGATTTCACGTTTGTAGATGCCAGATAGTGATTTGTAGCCTTAAATGGACTGACTGTGTTGCCCACATGCCACATGCAAAATTCAGATCTACCCTTTACGCTGATTTTTAACTTTTGGGCCTACCAATGAGAGGAGACAATTTTGGACCTTTCATAAATCATCTCTGGCAGCCCATGATGTGTATCAAAATCATGGACTCAGTTGAGCGGACTAAAATTCTCTTCAATTAAACAGTAGTCATGTTTCGTTTAGTTAGTGAAGTACGTTACAAAAATATTGTGAACATGCAAAATTCAGATCTACCCTTTATGTTGATTTTTAACTTTTGGGCCTACCAATGAGAGGAGACAATTTTGGACCTTTCTTAAATCATCTCTGGCAGCCCATGATGTGTATCAAAATCATGGACTCAGTTGAGCAGACTAAAATTCTCTTCAATTAAACAGTAGTCATGTTTCGTTTAGTTAGTGAAGTACGTTACAAAAATGTTGTGAAGATATCACAACATTTTTGTAACGTACTTCACTAACTAAACGAAACATGACTACTGGTCCGTCTACACGTTTATATGGTCCTATTAACGTAAAAATCAAAGAATAATCTAACAAATTTTTAGCATCCGACTCTATAAGCGCTTAAAAATCGGGTTAAGTTTGGGTTGGCCTTCCAAATTGCACAGTTGATGGTTGGATGAGCCAAATTATTTCTAATTTTCGGTCAATTCTCAAGGTTGATTAATTGTTATATTTTCCCATTGCAGCGCGCACACTTATTTGTGTATATGTAAAATGTTTTTGAATAAAACTATTTGCAGTTGCTTATGGAAGAGAAGCGCAAAGAGCATAGACACGTACTAGAGAAGTATCAATCAAAAGCTGAATACTACATATGCTCATGCCTCAACAAGAACAATGGCAGCAACAACGTCGACCGAACCCCGGGCGGGCTCTTACATGTGAGACAGTGGAACAACATGCAATACGTATCATCAGCTGCATTCCTTCTCTCAGTGTACTCAGACTACCTCCGACACTCAAACCAGAAGCTCAACTGCCACAGAGGCCCAGTGGGCCCGGATGAGCTACTCAGATTTGCCAAAGCCCAAGTTGATTATATACTGGGCTCCAACCCAATGAACTTGAGCTATCTAGTGGGCTATGGGCCCAACTACCCCAAAAGGGTGCACCATCGGGGTGCATCAATTGTGTCATACAGAGAGAACAAAGGGTTCATAGGGTGCACCCAGGGGTACGACAATTGGTACAGCAGACTCGAGCCCAACCCGAACGTTGTAGTCGGGGCATTGGTTGGTGGACCCGACTGTCAAGATAATTTCAGCGACGAAAGAGGGAACTATATGCAGACCGAGGCCTGCACGTATAATACGGCGCCGTTGGTTGGAGTTTTTGCCAAGTTGAATCAACTGGAGGACCAATTGTTCCAACAAAATCAAAATTCACCTTTGATTGCTTCTTACTAGGTAGATATCTTGTTTATTATATATATAAATGAAATATACAATGTTTATACTTCATAAGAGCTATTGCTGGTGGCTGAATGATATAGTATTGTACTCCTATTTGTATGTTTAATTATGTTACAAATGATAGTGATTACTTTAATTTTTCTTAATTAATATAGTAAGAATGGTGTAAACTTTTTCTTTCACTTACAGGATACTTACATTGTCATTTAAAGAACACTGGAGTCCAATAAGGCGCATTTTTCTCTCCCAATACTTCCACTATCATTGAAAGAATGAACACTAGAGTCCAATAAGAGGCATTTCTCTCCCAATATAAATTATAATTATAAACATTTTCTAAGCTTCAAATTTTGATATTATAAATGTTTTCGAATTGGGTTCTAATCATCTTAATAACATAAAAGGGGAGACCATCTATTTGTTTTTTTTTGTTTTTGTAGAAAAAAATCCTATACCATACATATATACTTCCCACGGAGCAAAATTCACAATTATAATTATATATGCTTTCTAAAATCATCTTAATCTATGTGTATGTCTATCTCAATATCTATCTATATAATATTATAAAGAGTACAAAGAGTTTCTATCTAATTTTGAGATTTTTTAAAAAGAGTTTTTAGAAGAAATTTTCTATGAAACTCTATCACATATTTATTTTTTTAAAAGAGTTTATATTAGGAGGAAATATTGAAAAAAAAATTAATTAGAGAAAGAAATATATAATTTATTTTAATAAATACATAACAACAATTCTATTTCAAAATATACCAATAAAATCTTAAACTAAGAATTATATATACAAAATTAATTTATATTTAAATTTTAAAATTTATTTAAAAAATTTATAATATTATTTATTTCAATAAATAATATGTTTTTATAATATTATTTATGTATAATAAATAATAATGCAAAATTATTTATATATATATATTTTTATCTTTTAGAAAATTTTTACTTTATAGTTATTATACGCACATTTTTATTCATGTGTATTGCACCTCTGTTTTATCAGTAATACATAAAAGTGTTTTAAAGGCCTTCAAAATAGAATCCTTTGGTAATTTTGCGTATACACGCACTTCGGCACAGGTCTTCAATCTTGTATTTAATTAGCATGAAATTTGTCAAAAATATATATATATATATAATATAAAAAAATATTATTTTATAGTTTGAATAGCATCAAACTTACTAAAAAATGGAAGAACATTATTGTAAATTCATTAAACTTTTTCAAGAAAAAAAAAAAAATTGTGCTATTAAAAAGGAAATTAGATAGTTATGAAAAAAAAAAACCCTAAGACCAAACCAAACCATCGGAAAACAAAATAAAGGAATTATTTGTAAATTTCAATCAAATAAACCGGTCCAAACCGGTTTTGACTTTTGGTTGGTCCTTCTTTGTCTTCTCTCGTCGACTCTTCTTGCTTTCTCCTCCTCCCAGATAGACGGGCGTTGCTGGCTGTCCAGAGAATTTTATTTGTTGATTCGTTTTTGAATTCACATTTTGAAGTCGAAGAAGAGAAAGATTGAGAGCTTAGAGAACTACAAACGCCACCAACTAAAGCCCCTTCTCTAGAATTTCAAATCATTTCATTGATACTGTTTGTATACTGAAACTGTTCGTCTGATGACTTCCAACGCTCCGTCATCGAGCTCCGGAGGCCCTGGATCGGCCGATTCATCAGCACCCAGAAGAAATTCCAAGCGACCCAAATGTATATTTCTATCTTAACGCCTATTTTAATTCTTTTTGCTAGTTTAGTTAAATCCAAAAATACCCATACATTCATTGGAAAAACATGCACAGAATATGAATTTGGAATTCCTCTTGGGTTTTGGGTCCGATCCATAAGTACCCAGATGCAATAATGTAATTATACCTTTTAATTGGTTTCATTGTCACACACATAATCATCTATATATGTAGTCTAGACTCTACACTAATGATCTTAGCTTTATATTATTCTTGGTTTTATGAGGAAAGTTTGCAGTTGCTATGCTTAGATGGTTTTGGCTTTTATATGTATTACTCATTGTCTGATTTGACTTAAATTTATAAAATCCATCTTAAATCATTTCTTACTCTAATTCTGTGGAATTAATCTTGGAAATATGATCTAGCAATAGTGTATGAGGTTAATTGATGTTGGAAATTTGCTCGTGTAAACTAGAAAGAATACTTTCTTTTTTTAAAAAAAATCAGCTCTTAGAAGTAAAATCAGTTATCATGACAGAACATTTGGACAGTAATCAGATATGTTGCATTACTAATCTAGGAAGCAAAAGTTGTTGATTCCGCTGTATAGAATAGATACTGGTTTATTTTCTCACTTTTCTGGCTATCACATATTTATGAGCACAGTAAACAACTCCGTATCACCAAGACTGTAACGCAAATTGGTTGCAATTAAGAAATTATATTAGAGTAACACTGAGTGTTGCACTATGTTACTCTGACACACACAATCCACACCCACATTGTCCTTAAAGGGATTTGAACCCTCAACCTTCCTTTTGGGATGAGAAACCACTAGAGTCGAAGGCTCGGTCATATTAAAGCTCCTTTCAGGTTGCAGGTATACATCTTGTACATGAATTAAATTCTGGTTGGATTTAAATTTGGACAATTGCATTATAAAGAACTGTACAGTTGCAATTGCTTTATTATATATTAGCGGATACATGCATTGACATTTATGTCTACATATCTACTTATGCATTTGAGCTAATTGTTCATGCTATGTGATCCTGTTCCAATATCATGTTGTTTTGTGTCCCTACTTTCCGAATCTGCAAGGCAAAGATACCAATGAAAATATAGACAAGAAGTTAGCTCTCTTTCAAATTGGTGATGGGTAGAGTTAGTAGGATTAAGAAAACATTAGGGTCTAGAAGCTGTTGTTATTATTTAAATATGGTAATTTTTTTATATAAATTTTACTATAAACTTCTAATTTAATATTTTTACAATTATCCTACTTTCCATGGGAAAAATAAAATCTATTTTGTGAGTCACAATTCCCAAAGCACCCAACTATTATGGGATAGAGGGAGTGATGTAGAACAGCTCGCTCACGATTATCTGAACATATAGGATCATCCCAAATCAGGGAGGCTGAAAAGGTAAGGAGAATAGAAGGAAATAAATAAATAAATAAGGAAAAGTCAAAAGGAGATTTGGTGGAGTTGATATATTATTCTCCATTGCAAGATTTAAAGAGGATTCTACTCCATCAAATCTCAAATATCCCCTTTAATATTATTTCACGCATACTTTTTATTTTATTTTATTTTTGACTTGCCTATATAAAGGCAAGAGATGTAAGTCTACTGACATCATCATTATCAATATAATTTCAATTTCTCTCTTGTGAGTTCAAGGGTTTAACCCTGTTCTTTATCGTTTCTGCTACATTAGTTGGTATCAGAGCAAGGTTCCGAATCCAAGATTCGCCTTTGTTTTCGATGGCCAGTTCACGAGATGGAAGCAACGTGATCGTGATGGAGTAGCTCTTTTGAGGGCTGAGTTTACTGAGTTCCAAACCAACGTTAATCGAACCTTGCTTGATATGCATGAAACTATGAGCCAAGGAACGGTAGAACTTAACCGCGAGAACAACAGACCGCCCAACGACGGTGATCATGGACGTCCTACTCGTAATTGCAACCCAAACCCACCGAATAGGCAACTAGCCTATGAGGAAAATGTCGGTTTTGGTAACCACTGAGCCGAACAGGTGTTTGGAGATAATCGAGGTCAATGGGAAATTGATGATTCCAAGGATTTTCGTATGAAGATTGACCTACCCACCTTTCAAGGTCATCTTCGTATTGAAGAATTCTTGGACTGGATTAGTGAAGTTGAACGTTTCTCTGGCTATATGAAAACCAGGAGGAGAAGCAAGTCAAACTCGTGGCCTATAAGTTGAAAGGTGGCGCATCAGCATAGTGGGATCAAGTGTAAACTACCCATGCACGTGAGGGTAAGGATCCGGTACGTACGTGGGTTAAGATGAAGAAGTTGATGAAAGCTTGATTTTTACACCCTGATTACGAACAGGTTCTTTATTAGAAATATTAGTCCTGCACGCAGGAAAGTAGAACGATTGCTGAATATGCTGAAGAATTTTATCGGTTGTCATCCTGTGATAACCTGGTGGAACCCGAATTTAGCATGGTGGCCCGTTTCAAAGGCGGGTTACGATGGGATATTGAAGAGAAAGTGGCGTTGCAACCGTTATTCAAAATGTCTGAGATTGTCACGGCGGCAGAGAGAGCAAAATCGTTACTGGAGAAGTCAAAGAATCGGTTTCGTGGTTCATATAATACCCAACGTCCTACACATAACATGGGTAAACAGACCGCGGTAGCCCCTGTTCCAATGACTTGGCGAAGCATTGGAGATGGTCCAACAAAGGCCAAACCCGTAGCACCAATAGGCCCTGCTGGGAGGGGAGCCCTAGCTGTGAGAGAAAATCCCTATGCACACCCAAGTATGGGCAAGTGTTTTCGATGTGGAGAACTTGGCCATAAATCCAACAATTGCCCTAAGTGACCGACAGTAAATCTGGTCGAGCACGAGGAAGGCGAGGGTGAGGAAGGTGAGTTCCTTACCTTTGAAGAAGAAGAGGTGACTGAAGGAGACAATGGCAAGTTGTTGTCCCACTCTTTAGTCGTGAGGAGGTTAATGTTCACGCCAAAGAAGGAGGAGCACCCGCAGCGTCATAATGTGTTCCATACACGTTGCATTGTCAACCATAAGGTATGTGACGTTATTATTGATAGCGGCAGTAGTGAGAACATTGTTTCCTTAACAATGGTTCGAAAATTGGGGCTTAAAACAGAGAAACATCTCCATCCATACAAAATTGGATGGATCAAGAAAGGCTCAGAAACGCGAGTATCTGAAACCTGCACCGTTCCATTCTCAATTGGGAAAACATATGCAGAGGAGGTGCATTGTGATGTAGTCGATATGGATGCATGCCATATGATATTGGGCAGACCATGGCAATTTGATATCGATGCCACTCACCGTGGTAGAGACAATGTGTATATTCTATACAAGAATGGTCAGAAGATTGTTTTGGGTCCGATGAAAGAAGCCGAATTTCCCAAAGGAAATTCAGTTATGTTGATCAACAGTGAGGAATTTATGGGCGAAGTAACAACTGCACCTGAAATCTTTGCTGTTATGTGCAAGGGGGAAGTAGTTAAACAACCTCTTTTTATAGTACCAACAATAGTGCAACCATTATTGCAGGAGTTTAGTGAGTTGGTGCTAGAAGATTTACCTGATAGTATCCCTCCTATGAGGGACATTCAACACCACATTGACTTGGTGCCCGGGGCGAGCCTGCCAAATCTACCACATTACTGAATGAATCCCAACAAGAGTCAGACCTTACAAGAGCAAGTGGAAGAGTTACTACGGAAAGGGTTGATTCAGGAGAGCATGAGCCCATGTGCCGTTCCGGCCTTGCTAGTACCGAAGAAAGATGGCAGTTGGAGAATGTGCGTTGATAGTCGCGCAATTAACAGAATCACTGTTAAGTACAGATTTCCCATTCCATGTTTAGATGATATGCTGGATATGTTGGCGGGATCGAAAGTCTTCACCAAAGTGGATCTCAAGAGTGGATACCATCATATCAGAATCCGCCCTGGGGATGAGTGGAAAACGGCGTTCAAAACAAAAGAAGGACTGTATGAGTGGTTAGTCATGCCATTCGGATTATCCAACGCGCCAAGTACTTTCATGCAGTTGATGAATCAGGTACTCAAACCATTTATTGGTCGATTTGTAGTTGTTTATTTCAACGATATTCTGGTTTATATTCAAACAGAGGCAGAACACCTTTTGCACTTGTGAGAGGTATTAATAGCTTTGCAGAAGAATAAACTGTTCATTAATCTGAAGAAGTGTGGCTTTATGACCCCAAGCCTAGTATTCCTCGGCTATTTGGTTTGTAGTGATGGCATTCGGGTAGAGAAGAAGAAGGTGAGGGCCATTCAGGAGTGGCCTACGTCGAAGAATGTGGGACAAGTTCGAAGTTTCCATGGCTTAGCCACGTTCTACCGAAGGTTCATCAAGAACTTCAGTAATATGATGGCTCCCATCACAGAATGCATGAAGAAAGGAAAATTCCAATGGGGAGGGGATGCTGAGATAAGTTTTGCCTTAATCAAGGAAAAACTGTCAACAACCCCAATCTTAGTCCTTCCAAATTTTGAGAAGCTATTTCAGGTAGATTGTGATGCCTCGATAATGGGAATCGGAGCAGTTCTATCACAAGAAGGAAGGCCAGAAGCGTTTTACAGTGAGAAGCTGAGTGAAGCACGCAAGAAGTGGACTACCTATGAGTTGGAATTCTATGCGGTGGTGCAAGCTTTGCGTACATGGGAGCATTATTTTATCCAGCGAGAGTTCGTGCTATTTACAGATCACCAAGCACTGAAATCCATTAACAATCAAAACAGTGTCAATCGAATACACGCGCGATGGGCGGCTTATATCTAGCGATTCACCTTCTCGCTAAAACACAAGTTAGGCCAACAGAACAAAGTTGCAGATGCACTAAGTCAGAGAGCAGCTTTCTTAGTAACTATTAGGGCTGAAATCACAGGGTTCGAATGCCTGAAGGAGTTATATGAGGCTGACGAAGATTTTGGCCAAGCTTGTGCAGCATGTAAAACGAGCCAATCCTTTAAAGGGTTGCACATGCAGGAAGGATTTCTCTTTAATGGCAATCAGTATTCCACGGAGCTCTTTGCGGGAGCAAGTGGTTCGTGAATTGCATGGAGGAGGATTAGTAGGACATTTGGGGCGTGATAAGACGCGAGAGCTGGTAGAAGAACGGTATTATTGGCCACAACTCAAGCGTGACGTGGAGAACCATCTGTGGTGGTGCTCAATCTGCCAAACTAATAAAGGCCAATCTCAGAATACTGGTCTTTACACACCGTTGCCTATTCCAAATGCTCCATGGGAGGATTTATCCATGGATTTTGTTCTAGGGTTGCTGAGCGAGGAGCAGACTCTGTTTTTGTGGTGGTCGATTGATTCTCCTAGATGTCCCATTTTATTACATGCAAGAAGACGAACGATGCAGTCCAAATGGCCAATCTGTTCTTTAAAGAGGTGGTTCGCTTCCATGGGGTGCCACAGTCCATTACCTCAGATCGTGACACCAAGTTTTTCTCACTTTTGGCGGACTTTATGGAAGAGATTCGATACCTCTCTTAATTTCAGTAGCACCAGTCACCCCCAGACTGATGGCCAAACAGAGGTGGTGAACAGGACCCTTGGAAATCTAATTTGCTGTATTTCAGGAGAGAAACCAAAAACTGTGGGATCTTGCTCTTGCCCAGGCAGAATTTGCTTACAATTGCATGGTTAATAGGTCCACTGGCAAATCCCCGTTTGCGGTTGTGTATTGTTGTCCTCCAAAAGTTGCTTTGGATTTGGTATCCTTACGGAAGTTTGCCGGGGAAGAGTGTTACTGCAGAGAAAATGGCTGAGCATAAGACCATTCAGGAGAGTGTCAAGAAACATCTAGAGGAAACTTACGCCAAATACAAGGCCGCAGCTGACAAGAGACGAAGGAAAAGAGTATTTGAAGAAGGGGACCTGGTTATGGTGTATCTAAGAAATGAGAGGTTTCCAGTGGGAACATACAACAAGCTGTAAGCCAAGAAATATGGTCCGTACCAGATTCTAAAGAAAATCAACGACAATGCTTATGTGATTGATTTACCTACTGACATGGCCATTTATTCTACCTTCAATGAGGTTGACATACATGAATATTATCCGCCAGATTCGGGTAACTCGGGGACGAGTTTTTTTTACCCAGGGAAGACTGATGTAGAACAGCTCGCTCACGATTATTTGAACATATAGGATCATCCGAAATCAGGGAGGCTGAAAAGGTAAGGAGAATAGAAGGAAATAAATAAATAAGGAAAAGTCAAAAGAATCATCGCAAATCAGGGAGGCTGAAAAGGTAAAGAGAATAGAAGGAAATAAATAAATAAATAAGGAAAAGTTAAAAGGAGATTTGGTGGAGTTGCCAGCAATAGAAAATATTATTCTCTATTGCACGATTTAAGGAGGATTCTACTCCATCAAATCTCAAATTTCCCCTTTAATATTATTTCACGCATCTTTCTTTTTTTATTTTATTTTTGACTTGCCTATATAAAGGCAAGAGATGTAAGTCTACAGACGTCATCATTATCAATATAATTTCAATTTCTCTCTTGTGAGTGTGTCCTTTGTGAGTTCATGGGTTTAACCCTGTTCTTTATCGTTTTCGCTACTAACAAGGAGGATTCTACTCCATCAAATCTCAAATTTCCCCTTTAATATTATTTCACGCATACTTTCTTTTTTTATTTTATTTTTGACTTGCCTATATAAAGGCAAGAGATGTAAGTCTACAGACATCATCATTATCAATATAATTTCAATTTCTCTCTTGTGAGTGTGTTCTTTGTGAGTTCAAGGGTTTAACCCTATTCTTTATCGTTTCCGCTACGTTAGGGAGTATGAAATTTTCAAGTTTCATTTGACACGTGTAACATTAAGAATTCTATTTTTCAGTTATAGATTTGTCTAAGATGTGGCGGTCACCTATGGAGATGGCAACCAGATGGGTATGGGAAGGGGCCCTCCTCCCCCATCTCGACCCAACCCATTCCACCCTGTATGGGGGAAGCCTCTATCCTTGACCCAAACTGGATACGCCATTGTGTCCCTTTTGATTCAGAACATGCTGTATTTCAATTAAATTGAAGGTTTTTGCAGATGGCTATGAATGTGCCTAACAAAGGGATAAGAACTTTTGCTCTAATTTGACTATACAGGGTTATGGATAATAACCAGTACTGGAAGTCAATAACATGTTGAAATGTAACTAAATATTCCATGAGGCTTTTCTCTCTATTTAGCTGCATTTAGTATCATGGTTTTATTTCTAATATGTTTGGCAATATTTTTATATATTTTGGTAGATGGGATTATAGATATATGGTTTCTCATATTAGCTAGAAGTTAGAACATAGAAATCTATGAGGATATCTGCTTTAAAGCAGATCTAATGTACGGAATTAGCTAATTGCTGATTGAAGGTTGTTTGTTTTGCAATTACCAAAAATGAAAAAAAAGTTGTATGTTTTGAGTTTGTGTCACCGTATATGTCCTTATTCCTGAACGTCATTGTCGACATTGGTTCCTCATGGTGTTTCTTTGGTTGTGGTCCTGTGGGTGCACCTCGTGTTGACCCATGGTTGTCTTGGGATGGATATCATGTCACCCATTTAAACAGGGTATTCAGATATATATATATATATATATATATATATATATATATATATATATATTTAATTTAATTAAATTATATTTTTTTATTATTATTTTATTTTTCTGGTTTAGAATAATTCACAAAGTGTAATGGGAATTTTCTAACAAGGAATAAATTATTGAATTAAAATTCTTAAAGTAGACCATACAGTTGATCAATTGGTATCAGCCACCAAGTAATGATATATTTCTTTTTTATACTTTTTGCTTCTTCAAGGAAGATGAATGCATCGATAAAGACTAAAAAGTGATTCAATTCAAGGTGAAGTTGCTACAAGGACACTAGGAAGGCCAAAAAGAACATGGGTAAAGACAACAAGATAGATATTGTTTTCTGGGTTCGTAAATATGAGTTTTGCTATGTGATCCATTGCTGTCCACAGGGTTTTCTTTCCTTGTGTATTACAAGTTCTCCGCCATTTTTTTTTTCCTGTAACACTTGATTTAGTTCAGGTAGCTTTGAAGCAAATAATGTCTCAATTTTTGTCTTACACACTTCTTTTATGCATTAGAGGCTCTCTTTGTTCCTCATATTACATGAAGCAGCATTAAGTTTACAATTTTAATGGACCATAACATGATCCTTGGTGACTGTTGCAAAGCATAAAACAGAAGCGAAGAGATAAATAAAACGAGAAAAAATACACAGATTTTACGTGGTTCAGCCACTAGGGCCTACGTCTACCACACAAAGAGCCTAAAGGGCTACATCACTTTTATAATACTCTCTCAATTCATATACAATACAATGGTGGAGGTTCCTTTATATAGGAGAAGAAATTATGAGAATGGAAAGAATTAGAAAATAGGAAACAAGGAGGATTTTTCTTCATTGATTCCTCTAGTAACACCAAATCTTCAATAATAGGAAACAATATCAATTACTGAAAGATTTTTCTCCACTGATTCCTCCATTAAATCTTCAATACTCCCCCTCAAGTTGGAGTATGAATGCCCAACTTGCCATTGAGATGACGAGTAATAACAAGTGTGAATGATGAAGAGAGAAGACGAAGAACAATCCTACCAAATATACCGACAGCCCAAACAAGTTAACAAAAAACTGCCGGAAATAGAGCAAAGGCGAGGACAATGCTATCGAACAAACCGGTAGCCTAAACAAGTCAATAAAAACTGCCGGAGACACGGCAAATGCTACCGAACACACCGACAGCCCAAACGAGTCAATAAAAATTGCCGAAAACACAGCGAAGGCGAAAAACATTACTGCCGAATAAATCGGCAGCCCAAACAAATCACAAATAGTACCGAAAAACCCTTAGCAACATTTCAGATGCTAAGGGAATACCCCAAAATAGGGGTCCGAACTTAGGAAGAGAATTAGGTTCTGATACCATGTTGCAAAACATAAAACCGAAGCGAAGAGATAAATAAAACGAGAAAAAAACACAAATATTACGTGGTTCAGCCATTAGGGCCTACGTCCACCTCACAAAGAGCCCAAAGGGTTACATCACTTATATAAGGCTCCTTTATATAAGAGAAGAAATTATGAGAATGGAAAGAATTAGAAAATAGGAAACAATGAGGATTTTTCTCCATTACCAAAAAAAACAAGGACACTAGGAAGGCCAAAAAGAACACGGGTAAAGACAACAAGATAGATATTGTTTTATGGGTTCGTTAATTTGAGTTTTGCTATGTGATCCATTGCTGTCTACAGGGTTTTCTTTCCTTGTGTATTACAAGTTCTCCACCATTTATTTTCCGTAACACTTGATTTAGTTCAGGTAGCTTTGAAGCAAATAATGTCTCAGTTTTCGTCTTACACGCTTCTTTTATGTATTAGGCTCCCTTTTTTCCTCATATTACATGAAGCAGCATTAAGTTTACAATTTTTATGGACCATAACATGATCCTTGATGACATAAATGAACCCCTCTTCAATTTCTTCTCTTGCAGATTCAAGGTTTACTCAACAGGAACTTCCGGCTTGCAAGCCAATTCTTACACCAAAATGGGTAAGTAAATGTTTCATAACTTCTGTGAATTTTAAAACCTAGTTGGTGATTCATCGGTATTGTAGTCTTCATCTGACGATCTCTTTATTTTCTTCCTGCAGGTGATTTCAGCATTCATGCTTGTTAGCATAGTCTTCATTCCCATTGGAGTTGCTTCCCTGTTTGCTTCCCAGGATGTATGGTCATTGGTCAAACCAACCAGACCTTTCTGCATTTTCCTTTATAGTTTTTCTCATGTCATCGACTATGGTTTTTCTTCTGTCCATTAGGTTGTAGAAATCGTTGATCGGTATGAAACTGACTGCATACCACCAACTCTGAGAAGTGATAAGGTCAAATACATACAGAGCCCCGGAAATAAAACCTGCACCAGAACACTGAGTGTAAGAGAAAAACAATAATTCTTGAGGTTTCACTATGATTAGATTTATTAATTTTTTGAATCATATTAGGTATATTATTATTATTATTATTATTATTAATTTTAATTATGATTATTATGTCCTTTAAAGATTTGGTTTATAATCTACATATAAGTGTGAAAACTTAATTCTTGAGGTTTCACTATAGTTAAAGTTATTAACTTTTTGAATCATATCATTATTATTACTCCTGTTCTTATTATTATCACGTGCTTTGAAATTTTGGTTTCTAATCTAGGTGTAAGATTGAGAATTCAATTCTTGAGGATTCTCTATGATTAAATTTATCAATTTGAATCATCCCAGGTGCCGAAGCATATGAAACCGCCTATTTATGTGTATTATCAGCTTGACAACTTCTACCAGAATCATCGCAGGTACTTATAACATGCTTTGCCATGTCCTTTACTAATTTGTAATTTGACAAAATATAAAATAAAATTTATGAAATGATTAATTTCGTATGTGATTTTTGTTATAAATCCTTTTGTTCATTGAATTGTAAGTATTATGAAATATTAGGAACATCAGGACCATGGTAGTTGTTACAAGTGGAGTCTTGTCCCACATCGAATCTGGATGGGAAAGTAAATGGGCATGTATGGGTTGGGTGTTAGCACCACCTAATAGCTTAAGCTTTTGGGTCGGACTGTGAAGCACCCGGACCATTACAGTAGTCTTGTGGGCCGTGACGAGTGATGTGGTACACAAAAATTACCTTTTTGAATTTTTCTGCCACATGTCACGCTATTAACACTGGACCTCATTGATCTAGAGTCTGCTTATTGTCTAAAATATTTGGTGGTTTTATTACCATATGGGAATGACTTAAAAATAGTGGCTGCATTATTAGGTCAACTGCTACAGTTGGTACTAATGCAATGTAATCTGGGTAGTTTAGAAAAACTCTCATTCCAACTTTTTCTGGATCAGAATAGAATTTTCTTTTCCTCACAGCACTTTTTGCATTCTATTAAGCAAAGTAGGTCTGGGAAATGGTTAACGGAAAACCAAAAAAAAAAAATTTAACATTTCACGTTCTCTTTGGAGATGCGAACACACAGATACATATATATCTATTGTCTTTCCCTTTATCTTTGAAAAATGGGCCATCTGTACACGCGCACACAAACGATTTCGTGTCTTGCATAGGTAGCAAAAGGCATGCCTTTGAAGCTTCACAAGATGGTTATGGTTTTCAAACTTTTTTCCCTTGCATTTCTTAAGTAATTGAAATGATGGTTATGGTTCGCAAATTTTTGGCATCACGTGATGATGGCTTTTTTAGGTATGTAAAGAGCCGAAGTGATGAGCAGCTGAGAGATGCCAGTAGTGAGAATGATAATAGCGCTTGCAAACCTGAAGATAATGCGAATGGGATGTCGATTGTGCCTTGTGGTCTTATAGCTTGGAGTTTGTTTAATGACACATATAGCTTCTCCCGCAACAACCAGATATTGACAGTAAACAAGAAGGGCATCTCTTGGAAGAGTGATAGGGATCACAAGTTTGGGAAAGATGTTTACCCTAAAAATTTTCAGAATGGAACTCTTATAGGTGGCGCGCATCTCAATTCGTCCATACCTGTAAGTCTTTAGCCACAATTTTTCTCTATTTCTAAAGAGTGCTAAAGAATTGATCTACTTTCCAAGTACGTTCATTTTTCTGTGTAACAGCCGAGGCCTTGGTCATAATTTATTGTGATACCATTCTTTTTTCCTTCTTTATATATATATTTTCATTTTCCTAGAAAGCTTTTAGTTCTCATGATAGAAGGTGTCGTTTGAAATTTTTTTTTTTTGATTAGTGTCGTTTGAAAATATTTATAATAACATATTTGCAATCCTTGCTCAAAAAATAACAGAAAAATGGTTTGTATTTGTCGCGATATATTCCTACATGGCAATATGTTTTGTTGAGTAAATTGCCCCACAATTGTTTGGGGTGTGCTTAAAAGCATTTCAAGATCTTGTGATTTTTTCCTTGGAAAAATGTGTTAAAAATAAGTAAATAGTTTATTGGGGATCATATTCTTCTCATGTTTGGATTAATGTGTCTCAAATAATTTTTATTTACCAAAAAAAATAAATTTGTGTATCTCACACTTCTTTTAAAATACAGAAAGAAACCTAAGCTGGAATCTAGAGATAATTTACATTAACTGCTTAATTCGTGTAGTGGGTAGTGGCTCAGAAGCCTGGGAATATCTCTTACTGCTTAATTCTCTTCAACTCATCGTTGTTAAAGGCTCAAGGCGCACAAAAGCGCAAATGCCTCCTGGAGCCTGGGGCGCAAAGCGAGGCGCGCGCCCGACTGAAGCAAGGTGCACGTTGAAAAAAAATAAAACAAAACCCACCCAATAAAGTATTAAAGATGCAATAGTATATATAAAGATGCAAAAGTCAACTAAATGAATTACTTAAGTTCAATATTCAACATAAAGATGCCAAAGCCAACTAAATCAAGTACTTGAGTTCAACAGTGAATAATCAAACATATTAACATAAAGATGCAGAAATCAACTAAGGAGAATTATGAGATAAAACTAAAACAAACATAGACATCATTTCTTCCTAAGATGGTGTACTCTATGGTCTATACTCTATACACTCACATATCAAGATAAAGATGGATACGGGCTGCTGGCAGGAGATGTATAACATGTTGATACATTTATATACACACACTTATTACTTGCGTATACTATATGAGATTTATATACTATATGAGATGTAATATATATGCATATATGGACTGCATGATACCATATACCAACTGGTGGATTATTGAGTATGATCCCAAGATTTTGGTCATTGGTAACACACAGATTTGTAAATAACATGGACACTTTCTTGTACAATAATTAAAAAACATACATACTACATTCTACAATGAAACATCAACCTATACATATTACCCTTTGTATACTACAATTATTCCAGCGGACCAGCCTAAAAAAATACCTTGTTTGCTAGAAATCTGTTTGTTATCAATAGCAATATATATATATGAATTATTATGCTCAGTGCTCACAAACACCTTGTTTGCTAGATGTAAGTCTACTTACCAATAGCAATATATATGAATTATTTTCAAAACCCCTCTAAAAAAAAACAGAGGACCAAACAGAGGACCAGCCTAAAAAAATATATAAATAAATAAATAAAATAAAAGAATAGCAGAGAGAGCCGAGAGAAGAAGAATAGAGAAAAAATAAATAAATAAATAAAAGAAGAGCAGAGAGAGCCAAGAGAAGAAGAATAGAGAAAAAAAATAAAAAAATAAAAGAAGAGCCGAGACTCGGCTCAAAGAAGAATAAAATAAAAAAATAAAAGAAGAGCAAGAGACTAGAGTCGAGACTCGAGAGAGCTGAGAGAACTGAAAAAAAAAAAAAAAAAAAAAAAAAAAAAACCGAGAAGAGAAGAAGAAGCAAGGAGAGAATAAGAAGAGAGGGAAGGAAAACTTACCAGGCTTCGGCGCAGACGCAAATCCGAGAGTCGGAGTCCAGGCTTCGGCGCTTCGCAGATCAATCGTAGTCTCGTACTTCTCTGTCTCTTGACTCTCTTCTTTCCTTTTGCTTTTTGATTTTTTTTTTTTTTTGTTTGCTTTGTAACTTGCAAGTTGTAATAAACAAATAAAAACTAGAAATAAACAAATAATAAACATACACAAGTAACACAACCAAAATAATAACAAAATAATAAATAAAAAAACAATTTTTCAAACAGGCACGCCTGTAGCTTGCGCCTTTGCCTAAAAAGTGCTTGCCTATCTCAACACCCTCACCTTAAGTCAATCAAGGCGCCAAGGTGGCGCCTTGCGCCTCCGGCGCCTTTGACAACTATCCTTCAACTTCTAAAAAAGGGTTTCATCTTACTTCTCTCAAGGGCATTTGTTACCTGTTTTTCTTGGAGTCACTTGAGAAATGACGTGGCGCCGTGTAATATTATTTTCCGAAATAGTTTTCTAAAATGTTTGAAATGAGTCATTAGAAATTATTCTGGTGGTGATTAAAATCATTCTTAGCTGAAGTTGCTTCTGTTGATGAGGCTAATGCTACCGTATGAATGTGTTCTGTGCAACAGTTGAGTGAGCAGGAAGATCTCATTGTTTGGATGCGAACTGCAGCTCTTCCAACTTTTAGGAAATTGTATGGGAAGATAGAGGTGGAACTTCAGGCAGATGAAGTCATACAGGTGACATTAGAGAACAATTACAACACCTATAGTTTCAAAGGCAAGAAAAAGCTTGTGCTTTCTACCGCCAGCTGGCTAGGTGGGAAGAATAAGTTTCTTGGTGTTGCATACCTCACTGTTGGTGGATTGTGCTTCTTTCTGGCTATGGCTTTCACAGTCGTATATCTAGTTAAGCCAAGGTAAGTTTTCCTACCTCAAATGTCAGGCTATGGAATAGGTCCCCTCATTTGCTAAATTTGTGCTTCCCCTTTTCTCAGTACGTTGTAGTGTGGTTCTTATATCCATGCTTACCCAAGTCCTGGGAAACCAATGGAATTTCAAACCCCCAGTGCCTTGGGATTAGGCTTGAGCAGGAGCCAACTTTTGACTGCAGTTGTGTTTTTTTTTTTATTTTGCTGGTCGAAGTTATTTGGCTCCTGCAAGGTGATCGGCCAGTGTTTACAGGACAGCTGGAATTTTTATTGAATCTTGGGAGAGCTTATCTTGTGCTTTTGAGGGAACAGTTATCTTCACTTTTTGCATATGTCAACTTGGCCTTTTGTTTTTTTTTTTTTTTTTTTTATCAGCACTTTTATAAGCAGTTTATCTTGTTTCTTAAGAGACTCTAATCCAACTATCTTAGTTGAGCTACGAATGGTACCTTTAAAAGTAACCTATGTAGAAAGAACAATTTTGAAACTAAAAGTCAATGGACTAAACGAGATGTTGATGTTATAGTATAGTTTCAACTATGTTTAGCTCCATATCTGGTTACATATGCTGGGGTTACTGCAGTTGCGCTGGTACACCAGTGTATTGAATAGGGTTTATTCTATTGCTCATGGACTTTAATTTCATGCAGATAACCACAGCACCAAACTCATGTTGGTTTAGAATAATATTTAATGTTATACTTTATCTTGATGATTTTTAGCACATAAAATAATTTAGAGAGGTTTGTTTGGGGCACCTATACTTGTGCATGAATAAACACATCTACTTTGTCTACCCAAATCCTCTTTTTAGACCTTGTTCACCCCCCCTTACTGCACCAAGAAAAGGATAATGGTTTTCCCTTTTTCCCGGTAACAAGGAACCATTCCAATCAGGCGCCCTTTGGACTCATGGCTACAACATAAACCTGGATATTGATCAGCGCAAACCATGGATATTGCTTAATCTAGGTCTTGAACTTGAGACCTCAAAATAGTTATTTCGAGACTATGCCTGCCGGGCAACCCTGACGGGTTCAGGAAAGAGTAAAGTTGAATTTCTATGAACATGCAACTTGATTTTGAGATGGAAATTATTAACTTACCTTCTCTCTTCTCTCTCAGGCGACTTGGAGATCCTTCTTATTTGTCGTGGAATCGGAACCCAGGAGGCCACTAAGCAAGCTCATGAAACTTCTTCGGACTGTTTGCCCCAGGTATTTGTAGTTCGGAATGGTGCATGTAAAATTGTGTATGAAGTGAAACCCTTCTTATAGAACCTCAGTTGGAAGCAGTTTGATTGTTTGGAATTTGATTTTTGTCGCAAGGGTGACATCCGAAAATTCATTGTATACAATTGCAGTCATTTTAATTATATTTTGGCTCTCAATTTCTCTCAAAAGTGTAGTTCAAAAATGGTAGAATAAGCTACTCGGAACAAGATACAAACCATTATTGGAGACATCAATGGCTATAGATTATATTGTTACCACATTGTTTTGGGCTTCAAACTTATGCTTCAGCTATGGTCCCCATTCATCAGCTACTTGGGGAATAACCCACTAAAATGATCCCTTCAGTGACTCACTTCATATATTACTCAAACTTTTAACAATGGGATACAGTTTCTCAAGACAGAAATAAGAGAAGGAAAGTTACAGTAGAAGATCTAAATCCAGTTAGACTAATAACATATTGTTCGGTGTGTGTGTGTTTTTGTTTTTTATTTTATTTTATTCATGTTATGAAATATTTATCGCACTGGGAAAAGGTATAATGAGGCGGACTTAGAGTTGCATTGTACCAATTATGTCCGGGACCAAAGGTTGTACGCCTAGTGATATCTCATCTGCCTTCTAAAGTAAAAATTCGAGAACCAGTTTCTTGCCAAGTATGAGTGTATCATCTCATATGCGGAAAAGAAAAGAGGGTCGAAAGCTGTCTCTAATTTAAATTGTTTAAAAATATTTATTTGGAGAGGTTGATTTTTAGAGAAGATGATGAACAACTAAACTTCTGATCTCATTTGTGATTTATGCATCAAACCATGGGGAAAAAAACAAAGCACCATGTTTTATTTACACTTCGAATAATTGCTTTCAATATCATTCAATCGTATTAAGTGAAGATCGTGAAATTAGTGGTCAACCCAAAAACTGATACTAAAATTGAAGTGGAGGATTCATGTGAATGAACAACTCAAGTTTTTTTAGGTTTTGGAAATAACTCGGTTTAATTAATAGAACTAAAAGCACAAAAACATTTCAACAAAAACCAACAAAATCCGTGTGGTTTCATGAGTTCTTAATCTGGACAAAGTTTCTGAAAGTAGAAATAAGTTGAAAATATAATATAGATTCCTGGATTGATCTGGTATTTGGGTGAATGATTTGAGACACTGAAAATATAAAAATTATGATAAAAATACTTGGGCTGGACTGGGCTGGGCCAGTTTATGTTTTAGCCCATTGGTTGAAGTTTTTGAAAAATGCAAGTAAAAAAGAAAAAGACAAATAGATACATGTTATTAACTGAACTCTGGATCCTCTCATGCACTACTTCAACACGTGTCGCGTTTTGTGCTATTATATCAGTTATTCAAAAAATTTACGTTGTTTATATAATAATTTTACTTTGCTTGTGCAACAAATACATTACATCCCTAATGCAACAACTACTTTCTGTATTCACAATTTATAAACAGCACAAAAACAAGGCACATAATGATCTCTTCTGATTCGCTATTAACTATTCAATAAAAACTAAAAATATAATTGATTTATATGGTACACAAATAATAATTATATATTGGTCAATTTACAAAACGGTCAAGTGCACAAAACATTCTTAAATTATGTTTATGGTGTATATCACAAAAAACACCTCTAAAGTTTTAATTTGGTGCAACTAGGTCCCTCTAAAGAATTTAAACCTTAAGTTAACTAAATTACACTTACTGAACCATTTTATAAAATATATAAAAATAAATAATTTTGTAAAATGACACTATTGGAGGACACCCCTCACGTGCAAAAAAATATCCCTAAAGTTTCAATTTTAGTGCAAATAAGTCCCTCCGACAAATTTAAACCCTAAGTTGACAAAATTATTCTTATTGAACAATTTTATAAAATATATAAAAATAAATAATTTTGTAAAATGACCAAAAATGATACTATTGGAGGACACCGGTAATGGACAAGTAAATATAAAAATAGAAAATAAAAATAAAATAATAAAAGAAAAGTTAGATAAAAAACGAAAATAAAAAAACGAAAATAAAGTGCAAACTAAATAAAACAAATCTGTTCCAAACTCCAAAAACCAGTGCACATTGATATTAGGATTTTTTTTTTTAGCAATGTTGGTTAAAAAAAAAAAAAAGTAAAAAGCAGTAAATTGAAATATCAAAAAATTCAAATCCTTGTTCTACAAATTCTCAAAGTTTCAAAAAAAATAAAAATAAAAAATAGAGATATATATAGAGAAAAATATTTCAAATATATATATATATATATAAAGTAATGTGCATATAACACCCCTATGCTATGAAATTGGTAGCATATATACCTCCTTGAACATTTTTGGAAGAATAAAAGGACAAAACGGGTATTACACCACTAATTTATGTTAGATTTTTTATTGAAGGGTATTTTTGCACAATATAAAAATATTATGAACGTTTTTTGTACACTTTTTTAATTAGGAGGTAAAAATGTTACGCAGAATATACTTTAGAAGTATTTTCTACACTTGACCCTTTATAAAATTCAAGCCGTTGAGGTCTTCAATGTGACACAAATAATCAACATTTTTAGACAAATCCTAATAGATTTTTTTTTTCGCGGAATATCAAGCAATTTTTATAGATGTGTTAGAACACTATCATTGGTGATTTAGTTCGTCAAATCACGTTGATTGCATTTAGTTGATAAAGGTTGACATGCATTTCACCAATATCGATTCCAGTGGAAGAGACGAGATAGAAAAGGATGAAGCTAAGCCTGGTGTAAAGGATTCTTATTCTGCAATACATATATATATATATACACACACATACATATATAGGTCCCACATATTCACCGTCATATAAGGAATATATTCATTCATCCACGAGAATAAATTCTTAAAGCATATAAAGATGCTTAAATTTCAAGCAAACATACATTCCCTTAAATCTACACCAATCCACCATTCCTATATATGATTGCCTTAATTTTTTATGCTTCACAAACATAATAATGAACCAAAAGTTAAACATCAACTTTTTCTTGGATGCATGGTTTAATTAAACATAATGAACCAAAAGCTAAATCTCAAAATCTATATATGTAGGTTGCTTTTTCATTCATTCACTAAGCACCGATTTATGTAAACAGACAATAGGGGTGGGGTCAATTCTGATTTCCAATCTTAGACTCGAAACTTTTCTCTAACCAGCTCGAATAACTACTGTGTGATGAGAGCGATTACTTTATTAACAAGAGTAAGAATGTCAGCTTCGATCTTTAGAGCAGTCATTTTATACAAATAAAACAAATACTCTAAGTCTGTTTGGTTAATTTTCTAAAAACTTGAACATCGGAAATGAAAAATTGTTTTCAGAGAATTTTTTTTTTTTTTAAAAAAAAGGTTTTGAAAATAAGTGTTACAATTTGTCAATCAAATAGATTTTTGTATTGTTATTAAATTTTAAATTTTCAGATATATATATATATATATATATATATATATATATATATTCAGAAAATTAACTAAACTAACAAACGGGTTAGCAATCAAGATTAACCATACCAAACTAGGTAACGTTTCTTTTATCATCTAAATCTTAAATGAAAAGTAATCAATATGTTTTGGTGAAAATAGAGATTAATAGTTATACTTACCAAAAAAAAGAAAAAGAAAATTGAGATTTATCAATTCCTAATGCATATGTGTACAATTAGAAGCCATGAGTTTTGAATTTTTGGGAGAGGAATCTTCCTTTGATTGTCAAAGACGAAAGCATCAATTCCCTTTTGCATTTGGGTGAATAGATTGTGTTTTCTTCTTCAGATTTTTATGATCTCCATTATATATATTTGACATCCATGCATGGCCTTAATTTATATGTATATATATATATATACACATGCTAGCTTTAGCTTACTTTATAATGTTCTCACTCATCTCTTTTACTTGGAAGGGGACCAGTGTCGATGTTTTTGGTTTAACCCTGTTTATAAGTTTTCTATTTTTTTTGGGTCAGGTGTTTATAAGTACTGTTGTTCTTGTTTGTTAATTATCTAAATGAGAGTGGATTCATACATACATAGATAGATAGATATATATGCATGGGAGGGAGGACAATCTTCTATCCTACAAAAGTCCCAGAAGTAGAGGCCCAACAAGCTTTATAAGAAAGAGGGGTCCCCTCCCACCTGCCATGAAAAGCCCCGCATTCAAACACAACTTTGATGGTTCACATCCTCACATAATACCAACCACAGAACCCAAAGTTGGTTCCATATTATGCATGTTGTTCTTTAGTACACCACTTTCTTATCTAGTAGTTTAATTCATCAGAACTTTTTATCTTTTTTTTTTTTTTTTTTTTTGAATTTTTCTAAGATGATATGGTCATTTAAAATTTTGAAGTGGATGAGCCTTGACTAGCTAATTTCGAGAAATTCCATAGTGTTCTCATAATTGGTTCTAGAATAAGTTGAATATCCAAAGGATTAATCACATAATTTTCTAAACATGTTCAATTTATTAATCATAAATTAGTTTTGCTGTGAAGTATCATTAGACACATTTGATGTTATAAGTTCGTATCATTTGCAATTCAGCATGCATGTTGTACTGTAACAGATGGTGATGATCATAATTACTATATTTGACAGTAGGCGTATTGTACTGCAATAGATAGTCACGGTCACAATCACTATATTTGACATAAACCGCGGCTTTGTCTAAGGGATTAAAGAGCTAGGTATAGGTACTGTGGTGATCTTTACATGCATCATATATGCAAGTATTATATATATATACAAGCATTAAGCATATATATAGTGTGGCAGGCTCTACTACAAAGATAAAGTAGTGCAACATCTGCTCATGGTCATCATGATTGAATGAATGACTCATTCATATCTTAATATTGAAAAAAGCTTTACTGCAAGAAGAATAACACTCTTCAAAGATGTACTCTCTACTTTTGGTGATAGCAAAAGATATATATATATATATATATATATATATATATATATACACACTCTTTTACAGATATACACAACCATATAAAGATACTGTCTCTCTCAACATTACAATGACAGTCATTTACATTAAAAGTATGTACTCTTGCAAAAAAATACCTAACTACAAGGTCTGAATACAAATTGAGAGAGAGAGAGAGAGAGGGAGAGTATCTTTTAGCAAAGGTATGGGTGTATAGTAGATATATATATATATACACACACACACTATAGCTATAGGTGTATAACTTTATTTTTCTTTAGTAATTTAAAAATAATTTCTTTTGTGTGTAATATTAACTTGTTTCCAATATGCTTTCTATTTAGAGAGCTAGGCCATTCTCTTCTTCAAAAGACGCACCCTATTCTTTCCCACTATTTGCATCGCATTTGTTCTTGAATCTCTTGGTATTCCATTGAAGCTGAGAGTGAGAGAAAGAGAATGTTCCATCCCAAGAAGCCTTCATCTATGAATTCACATGACAGACCCATGTGTATTCAAGGTGACTCTGGTCTTGTCCTCACCACCGATCCCAAGCCCCGCCTCCGGTGGACCGTCGAGCTCCATGAACGCTTTGTTGATGCTGTTACTCAGCTTGGTGGACCAGATAGTATACCTCTTACAACTCCCAATTTTCACATCTTTAATTCACTATCATATATATATTTAATTTCCCCAAAAAAAAAAAAAAAAATAGGGTTTGTTTTCTCTTGTTTAGGTGGGTTTTTTTGTAGGTTTTTTTTTTTTTTTGAGCTTATCTATATGTCCTTGTTTTGCAGAGGCCACACCAAAGACTATTATGAGGGTTATGGGTGTGAAGGGTCTCACTCTTTACCATCTTAAGAGCCATCTTCAGGTTTGAATAATAAAGCATAACATATATATAAATATATCTCTGTATGTGTGTGTCTATAATTTCATGGTAGCTTCTTTTTCTTTTCTGATTGCACTTTCTGTTTTATGTTTTTGGATACTGGCTGGTGGGGCTTGATTTTTCTTTCTTTTTAATTTCTTATTTTGTTTCTGTTTGACTAGAAATTCAGGCTAGGAAAGCAACCTCACAAGGAATTCAATGATCACTCAATTAAAGATGGTGAGAGAGGTGATATGATTGTTCTCTTTACATAATTGGGTGAATTGGTACAATCCAATTCATGAGTTTTCATCACCTTCCTTTAATTCATTTTCATGTTATATTAATTATCCTACATATATATGTGTGTGTGTGTATATATATATATATATCAAAATTAATTTATTATGCTGTTCAATTTTTGTGGCATGCAGCTTCGGCTTTAGAGCTTCAAAGAAATACTGCATCTTCATCTAGCATCATGAGTCGCAGTATGAATGAGTACGTAATTGCCTCAATTATCTATTTAATTTGGCTTTTATTCTTTTTCATGTATTATTTTTTTTCGGGGTTTGGGGAGTTGATTTCATGCACCAAATTAGTTTTTTACCCTTAATGTTTGGCGTTCTGAATTTCTCATGGAACGGTACGATTTGTACGGTAACAAGTAACATATATTCACATCTCTGATGCAATTAGGGTGCAAATGGAGGTGCAGAGAAGACTGCATGAACAATTAGAGGTAAGCAAATATAGGGACTTTTTCTCTTCTTCATTTGTTCTCTCTTTAACTTTCAGCTGGACAAAGGGTAAAAAATTTATATATTGATATATAAACATATACATGTCTTTGTATATATGGCTGCAGGTGCAGAAACACCTTCAGTTGAGGATTGAAGCTCAAGGAAAGTATATGCAAACTATACTGGAGAAAGCATGCCAAACACTTGCTGGTGAAAACATGGCTTCAGGAAGCTACAAGGGTAATATGGGAAATCAATTAGGGGTACTTTCTGAGATTGGAGGCTTGAACTTCCCATCTCTTCAAGACCTCAACATATATGGAGGTGACCAACCTGCAGATCTTCAACAGAACATGGACAGATCATCCCTTGATGGGTTAATGATGGCGAACAACGAAAACTTCTGTCTGGGGAAGGAAAGGCATAGCCCTTATAGCAGTGGTAGCGGCAAGAGCCCCTTAATGTGGTCTGACCAGCTCCGTCTTCAAGAATTGGGAACAGTGGCATCCTCCTGTCTCACTTCTAAAGATGATAGAGGTCCTGACTTGGATTCCATGTCCAACATTCATGAAACGAAGCCACTAGTCCTCACCCGAGGGGATTCTGTGGGTGAAAACAAATTCGACACATTGGTGAAACACGAAAGGCCTTCGCCATTGAGAGCTCCTCTTCAATCCGATAGGATGAATCCTATGATCAACACTGGTGTCATGCAACAAGGAAGAAATTCTCCATTTTGATAAAAACATAAATGTTGCTTATTAGACCCAAGTACAAATTGGTATATGAACTACAAAATCGATTTAGGTTTTTGAATTTTAAGAACTTTAAGGAGTTCATGACTAGGTAAGGGTTTCCTGTTTCCAGCCAGGTATGAAAAAATGCCATGCATGGCAAATATTTTCAGTTTAGGCTGTTATTTAGCTCATATTGTAGTGCTTCTATATTATGACCACTGTTTTACTTCCTCATACTTCCCTATGATTAATAATGCATTTCGTAGCCTATTGAATATTGACATTGAAATGGATTCATATTATTAATTAGTAGTGGTTGCATGCATGAATGTAAATTTGACCTTGTTATAGTAATTGTTGCAATAGCATGTTATACAGGGAATTGAAAAAAGTGTGTCTGTTGAAATTAAAACAGTGGTTTCTTTAATTTTATCATGGAAAAAGCACACTCATGATAAACTTACTCTTTTATCATTTAGATTACAATATTTTAGTTTAAGATCATGATTATAAACTTACCCTTTTATCATTTAGATTACAACATTTTAGTTTAAGATCATGATAGCTTTGCTTCGTCTGATTAAGTTAATTTATTATTATTTTAAACCTTCTATCCTTTAATTTGAAATATAAGGGAGTACAAAATTTAACGTAGGAGAAATTCTACTAAAAACTGAGAGCTTTGAATGGAATGAGGTATCACTTGTCAAAATATTTTCGGAGTACCAAATTTAATGGAGGAAAAATTCTGTTAAAACAGAGAACTTTGATTGGGAGTAATACCACTTGTCAAGATATTCCAGGAGTATTGTAAAATTTCAATTAACATAGATTGGACGCTTTCTTTTTATTGTTAAATGAAGTATAATAAACTTTTTTTTACCATTCCCCTTTAGTTAGTTCAAGTAAGTTAACCCCATCAATCATTTGAGTTTGTAGACAAAACCATTGAAATGTGGAGAAAAGGGTTAGGGTTTGAGGGAACATAGAGTGAAATAAACAGTAAACAAAAACTACATGAGTCTCCAAAACATCATTGGGAATGGAGTGAAGATAGATTGGTAGAAGCTACGAACCTTTACCTGAATGGAGAGACTTTCCTGTGGGATAAGCCGACCGCGAGTATCTTACCTTTTATCACCTTTTTTCCTGCCCTATTCCTTCCTTTGGTATCAAATGAATAGGGTTAATTTTGGCTGGACCCACCGGCAACAACTTGAGACATAAGGCCAAAACGGCGAGTGTATATTTCGCCATCATGTTTTTCTTAACCATGGAGTTGAAAGGTATTGGAAGGAAAAAAAAGAAAAAAAAAAAAAAAAAAAAAAAGGTAATGAAGGAAAATAAAATGTTGTGTTTGGTATGAATTTTTAAAGAAAAATAAAAGAAATAGATGAATTCAGAAGGAAATAAATTATATATGATGTTTTGATTTTGTTATCCTTCAAAAAAAAAAAATGGGAGGAAATGAAAAGGAAAAGAAGGAAATGCTAGTTTTTTAAATAAAATTTCATTAATACCAAATTTATTCTTATTTTTATAAAAGACAAAATTTATAAAAAATGGTAAGATAGTAAATTCATTAAAACACTTTACATTTCTTTCTTTTCCTAATGATTATAATCATTTTCTTTCTTTTCCTTTTTTAATCAACAAAACATGATAAGTGGTTAACAATATTATCTCATTTTCTTTTATTTCTTTTCTCTCCTAATTAATCTTATCCTTTCTTTTATTTTTTATTGTACCAAACATAGCCTAAATGCAAAATTTTAAAAGTTCGAACTGTGTTAGGATCATATTAACCCAAAACAAAAATATTGTTTCTGTTTCATATGAAATCAAAAATGCAAAACAAAAAGGTTGCCAAATTGATCCTAAATGAAGCTTTTTGATATTTAATACTCCGTTATATTATAATACTAATAAGTTGTATTTAAGAAATTATGGTCTCCCCCTATTTATAAGGGATAAAATCATAGAACTCTCAATATTTTTAATTTTTTATCATAAAACCCCAACTTATTTTTACAAACCCCTAAACTATTACAAAGTTATCACATTGCCCCAATATTCGTATTCAACCCCTAAAATGGATTGTGAAATGTTAAATTTAACTTTACTATTTAATGTTAAATTAAAAAATATAATTATTATTTATGAAATTAGAAAAATACCCGTCTTCTTCCTCTTTTTTCACCCTCCCTGAAATACCTCCTATTTATATATAATTATACCTATATACACCTATAATTGGTACAAATGTTTGTATGTATATATATATATATATATATATATATATTTGTATGTCATATGAAAATTCATATCCAACCAAGAAATTACACTGAAGCATAAAGCGCTCATACTCAATAGTGCGAGAGCGAACAAACCAAATGATGAGCGAGCATTTCTGACTTCTAAACCATCATGTCTTCATTCCCATACTCGTTCGACCAACTTGGTGCCGATTCGTGACCCGTTGCTTTAAGTCGAATGTTTCAACGATGATGGCTACTTGTGGTACGATCCCCGCATCGCTTCCAAGCGTTTCGACTCTTTCTCGAACTCCACCGACTTGGAGCCGTCAAGGACTCGATCGTTGACGACTCACGATCAACAACGTGTTCGCCTCGCAGACGATGCCAGACACTCCGTCTCCACCGCCGATTTATGTCTTTGGTGATTGACAATCACCCTATTTGCCGGAATTCTCCTCGTTGTCGCCGAAAACGAATGGAACACCTTTCGACGGTGGTTTTTGTTAGCAATTATGTCTCAAATTCCCATTATTATTAGTTTATATTTTAGAGTGTAATCTTATGGTAATTTCTTATACGTGAATTGAGCTCTAAGAAATTGTAATCCTTGTCCATAAAGGAATTGGGTATGTGACTCTATAAATAGACACTTAGGCTATTGTTGAGAGTTATGAGTTGAGAGAGATGTAGCCTTATGAGGGAGTACGTTGATGGTAGGGGTGAGTTACGGGTTTGATAGAGTGAACACTGGTGGTGAGAGGGAGTCTCGTGGGGTACACAGAAAACTCGGTCAAGAGTTTATGTGCATGGTCTAGTGTTGAAATTCTCTACTATTGTAATATCTCTACATATATAATAAATCTCTTCTCATCCGTGGATGTAACCCTGATTTTGGGTGAACCACGTATATATCTTGTGTTGTGGTTTGAATTATTTTTTCTTTTTCTTTTTTCTTTTGCTTTCGCTATGTCCCAACAATTGGTATCAGAGCCAAAGGTGAAAGAGATCCAGAAAACACAAGAAATCTCAATATGTGCTACAACAGGCTTCAGTTGTAGGTGGAGTCAATCGGCTTGATTACATGGCATGGAGCTTGAGAAGTCAAGGTGGAGCCTTGGGGTTTGACTGATTGAGCAACGTATAGTGAGGGGATAATCCGAGTTCTGGAATAAAATCGCAAAGATTGAAGTTGCAGAGAATTGTCCAGATTCAATTGCCATAAGAAGCGATGATTGAAGTAATGGAATTTGAGCCAAGGTGGAGATTGTTAGGAATTATGTCTCAAATTCCCATTATTATTAGTCTCTACTTTAGAGTGTAATTTTATGGTAATTTCTTATGGAAACGTGAATTGGGATCTAAGAAATTGTAATCCTTGTCCACAAAGGAATTGGGTATGTGACTCTATAAATAGACACTTAGGCTATTGTTGAGAGTTATGAGTTGAGAGAGACGTAGCCTCATGTGGGAGTACGTTGATGGTAGGGGTGAGTTACGGGTTTGGTAGAGTGAATACTGATGGTGAGAGGGAGTCTCGTGGCATACACAGAAAACTCGGTCAAAAGTTTGTGTGCATGGTCCAATGTTGAAATTCTCTACCAAACCCGTAACTCACCCCTACCATCAACGTACTCCCTCATGAGGTGAAAACTGTCTTTCTTCATGGTGATTTGGAGGAAGAGATTTATATGAAGTAGCCAAAGGGTTTCAAAGTGAAAGAACAAAGAGAAGAAAAACGCAGGTTTTTCCATTCTGCTACGCCATTCAACTGAGGAGTTTTTGGAGTTGTCTTTTGATGCCGGATACCCTGTTGTCTACAATATTCATCAAAAGGACCAGAATACTCTCCGCCGTTATCAGTACGAATGCATCTTAGTTTCTTCCCAGTCTGTCCCTCAACTAGGGCTTGAAATTGCTTGAACACTGCTAACACTTGGTCTTTTGAATTCAAGGTATATACCCACAACTTCTTTGAATGGTCATCTATGAAGGTCACAAAGTATCTGGAGCCACCAAGTGTTCTCGTCTTCATAGGGCCACACACATCTGAATGTACCAAATCCAGTATATCTGACTTTCTCGAATGAAGGGAATTCTTGAAGGAGACTCTGCTCTGCTTCCATGACAAACAATGAGTACACCTTTTTAGAAGTGTACTTTTCAGTCCACATAGTAGACTTTTCTTCCCTAGTAGAGCTAATCCTTTCTCACTCATGTGAGCCAGTCTCTTGTGCCACAATTCTGTTGTATCATTATCCTCTATCGCATTAACAATGTCGTTGGAGATCTTTGTTTGCAGAACGTACAGTGCAGAGTGTTTCATACCTCGAGCCACAACCATAGCACCCCTAGTGAGCTTCCACTGGCCATCATTGAAAGTGCTGCAATACCCTTCATCATCAAGTTTACCTGCAGAAATTAAATTCAAGCGAATGTCAGGAATATGCTTCACATCTCTGAGAACTAACCTCGTGCCATTATTCATCTTCAGATACACATCCCTAATTCCAAGACTTTAACCAAGCCATCGTTGCCCATCTTTACTGTTCCAAAATCACCAGATTTATAAGATGTAAAGAAATCCTTCCGAGATGTAGCATGAATGGAGGCACCACTGTCAATCACCCAACTAGTCTCATGGTATGCAACATTTATCATCTCATCATCATAAACAATGAGGAAGTCTGCAAAAGTGGTGGTAGCAACTCTGTCATCACCATCTTTGTCATCTCCATTCTTCGTTCCCTTCCCTTTCTCATTCTTGTTTTCTTTCTTCAATTGCCTGCAATATTTCTTGATGTGTCCCTTTCTCATTCTTGTTTTATTATTAGTTTCTATTTTAGAGTGTAATTTTATGGTAATTTCTTATAGAGACGTGAATTGGGTTCTAAGAAATTGTAATCATTGTCCACAAAAGAATTGGGTATGTGACTCTATAAATAGACACTTAGGCTATTATTGAGAGTTATGAGTTGA